TGTCCACTGTCACCGTTCCTACTTAACTTCGTCATTGACGTACTAATGGAAACAACCCTAGGTACGTCTGACTTCACAGGGATTGATCTACTCCCCTACCTGGAGGTGATCTGGTTGACTTAGAGTATGCATATCATATTGTCCTGCTAGGTGAATACGCTGACGCATTACAAGGACTTCCGAACTCATTGAGCAGAAATCTGAGTATGATTGGCATGCGTTTCACTGGTACTTGTCACATGTAAGATGATGCTTCAAGATTGGTCTGCCACAACTACTCCCAGTTTAATGATAGGTAGTGAAGTGGTGGAATGTATTAACTACTTCACTTACTTGACAAATTGCATCAGCTCAAACGGGCTGGTTGCTGACGAAATCCCAGCTCGGATACAAAAGGTCCGTTTGGCATCTGCCAACTTGCCTCAGCCACTGGCGAGATATCCGACTACCTATCAAAGGAAGCGCATAGTGCGCTGCAGTCCACTATGTCCTGTTATACGGCTGAGATATGGATGTTAAAAGTATAGGGTATGAAGAGGTTACAGGGTTTGATCATAGGTGTCTTCGCAGCATTGCTTGAGTATGGCAGACTCATCATGTCAGCAATATCGAGGTTAGGCAAAGGGTACTAGGTAGGATAGACAAATCAATTGATGACATTGTGAACCTTCATCGACTGAGGTGATTTGTACATGTACTGTACCTAACAAGCCACCGCCTACCTCAACGTACAATGCTACGGAGAGTTGGATCAGTTTAGAAGATGGTTCAGGGTGGCCAAACCAAGCAAGACATGGCACTAGTCGAAGTCTCTGACCGTTTGTATTAGTCGTGTGTGGAGATGTAGACTTCCAGACTGATAGTCAATAAAAGGATATCTTCAGCCCCAAAAGGTCAAGTTTCAAAGGCACAGAGTAGAGCCAATTGATTGCATACCCGGTTTTTTACAGCAAATTTTAACATCACGAAAGGTGAGCCAAACAGGTGTTTGCCTTCTTGGCTTTAAACATAAGGTTGGAAATCTCACCAGTCACACTTCCACTAGTAATCAAAAACAGTTAGACAATTCTTCACCACCAGGGTGAGTTCAGGTCCTGAGAATCTTGTAGAAGCACTTTAAAGTTAGGTTGTGCATAGCCTATACTGTACTTGCGGACACTGATCGAGGACGACTTTAGAAGGCTGTATTTTGTTAAAGTAAAACGATATCGTTTGCATACTTGATGTTGAAAAGTGTTTCATCTGGTAACAGGTCTATTCCACTACACTGCACCCCCTTCAGGAGTCTCTCTAGGATGCCATAGATGGTCAAGATAAAGCAAAATTGGGTAATCCCACCTATCCCCAAACATCGGTTTGCAACAATGTAGAATTGTGGCTCCAAATTTTCACTCCGTCTGAAGTGTTGACGTAAAAATCTTTCAAGGTCGCTACTGGAGGCAAACTTATACCCCGATGACTATCACATACATTAATTAGGACCTTCTTAAAGACGGATACAACAGTGATTTAATTCCAGAGTAGTGAAACACTCTGTCAGTCCCCTAACTACAGCATCACCTAAGTCCTTAAAAAAGAGTCGGAGGTAGGTTGTCTGGAATTCTTTACAGATCTTCTTTTCCTAAGGTTGGTCAGTGTTAACTGACCATTGAGCGCAAGACATTTAGGTCGGTGTTGCCGGAACATTAGGCCAGCTTAACTGCTTTCCGAAGTGCTCCACCCAGAGTTCCAAGCGCCTATGAAAGTTGGTGATCGGCACACAATCTACTTCACAGAAACTGACACCAAATTTCTTGCAGTCGGTGGCTCGGATGAGCTGGAACAGCTTCCAACTATCGAGAGATGAAATTGCTACTTCCGTTTCACTCGCGCGTTTTACCGACGAGCCTCAGTACTTATATAAATCTTGAGTGATCTGTCGCTTAAGGGAGTAAGGCATATCACTTCACTCACGAACTGCTAGAATACACCACCAAGCATCAAAAAGTCGCAAGGAGCTCGCAGACATCGTGTTAACTAGCAGGATGTTACGTAAAGCGGTACGAAGACCCGCTCGTCACTTTGATGGCAACTTTTAAGTGCAGCCAATGTTCATTCCTACTTTCCGCAGGTTCTACAGCTAACCTTGAATATACCTCAGTTTGGTATTGAGTTACAATACAAGGTGCAACAAGTTTGCTTACGTCGGTCCGTTTTGGGCGACGATTTTGTTGACCATCAAAATGGAAGATAAAACAAGCAAAAACTAAAGAGTGAACAGAATTGGCATCAGTGCTCCAGAAATAGCAGAGGTTCTGAATATGCCCATCGTTAGCTGATTGCATTAGGATCAATTTGAGTGCAGGCTTGGGTGTTAGAGGATGACAAGCAACACAACGGTGACCACAGTGGAGGAAGCTGGTGCTGAGTAGAAACATGTTGGGATATGCGTAAACCTCCAGATATTCTTCTGGAACCGACCAACTCTCTTCGAAGACCTAAACGACCATCCTCTGAGTCAAGACATTCGACCTGTGCATCTAAATCCTCGGCTGGCAGTACGATATATGCTAGGTGCACCTGATAGAGGTCACTCAACCGATGGTAGAACTCATCCTTAAGTCAGGGCCTCAGCAGAGATGACAAAGAGACACCGTTTTCTGCGCCAGCTACTTCACATTACATTCGAACCTTCAGGCGTATCACTACACAGGTGATTGTTGATGAGGATCCAGTCGACAAGTGCACGTAGGTTTCAGGCGCTTAGTGAGAGACTAACACCAGCAGGACCGGCTGATGACACCATTAGGTACCCTGATAAGCGCATGGTGAATACACTTTTTGAGCTGACTGGTAGAGAAGCTATTCAAGACACTTCACTGGGATTTTGCATACGAGCCTCTGAGGCACAACATACATTTACAGCGAACATTTTCAGAGTCGCAGACAAACCTACCTGTTACCCGAAATTTAAGGTGGTCAGCATAAGTGTTGTCTGAAGTTTCACAATAGTTGTATCACATATTGGACGAAAGATCAGCTTTCTGGAAGCAACTGTTTGATGACTTAAAACGATGCAGACAGACCAGGATTTCAGTCAGAGATGAGTATCGGAGCAAAACAAAATACACAAAGAGATAAATTTGGAAATGATGACCAAAAGACAGGTGTAAAAACAACGATGATATAAAAAAATCGAATGATTGAGTCGACGGCTAGCTACACGGTAAATTTCATTTCTTGTAGAAAGATTCGATGAGTGCTTAATACTCTCCATTGTGAACGTTGATTCATATATAAACTGTATGTGGGCTTTGATACTGCCGGATGCCAAAAAAAATAACAGGCGATTTCATTTGACGATCACCACCTGAGTCGTTAACGATATCTGATCTACGAAACAATACAGCAGTGTGGGTCGCCGCATTCCCATGGTTGTAGGTGACCGAGTCAAGTTCATACCCCATATCTTCATAATGGATCATGGAGTCTATACCCACTACAGATTTGGAATCAGGTTTTTCCAACTCCCATCTAATTATAGCGCTGGTTGTTAGTTTTCACTTTTGTGGGAAAAGCGTTTAGTGAGTAGGACGTTTCTGAAAGAAGCTATGAACGTGAGCCACATAAGAGGAAGACAGTCATCATCTCATTGAGGGGATTAAGTTTGAACACCAAACAGTTTGTCAGTTGCCAATATTAAATAACTTAGTTATCATTTTGTAAGACAGTTTTAATGATCAGCATTTCATTTCTCAACCAAAAAACAATTTAAAACTAAGCTTAACGTGAACAAGTATTATCTCGCTCCCTAACTGGCTGTATATCCGAAATCTTGAATTGTCCTCAAGATACTTTTCTAAAGGTTTAATAGCCAAACGTCAAGAAAAACTCATTTGGTTAAGAAAATATCAATACAACCATCGTATCCTCAAGAAACGACTGCCAAGATCCTTAAATAGGACATACTTCGCCGCCAACTTTTGAATGATTTTCTCCCGCAAGAAACGTCCGGGCCAGTGTGTGACGGATTGGATCACATCAGTGTGTGTATACTTGTTTACTTGGTTTTGTAGAGCTGAGTACATCGGTCGTTCCATGCATCTGCTTGTAAAACGTGTTCGCGAACACTATTCAGCGTAACTGGCAAAGGGAGAACGGAAATGTATCTTCAGCTGAATAACAGAACACCTTGTGAACTCAAGCCACTTAGCTCCTTTTGAGAGCACATTCAAAATCCTCTCCAGGGTTCGATCAAATCACCAGAATGGAGTAAGATTAAGGCATTTGGGTAAAGCTAATGCACTAGCCATTCAGAAGTTCAAACCAGAGTTATGCCTCCAAAAAACGTACGTCCAACCTTTATTTTTGCCGTGGCCATCACAAGGACTTGACTGTCATAGATTTATCCTGTATTACATAATTACATTGAATTTCATAATTCCTTGTTTATTTCCATACTCTAAACCCAAATGTGTATTAAGTAACTTCCTTTAGTGATTCAATATACTTTGGCCCCTGACTGGAGAAATCTGTAGAACGTTCTGTCCACTGTAACATATATTCACGAATGTACAGCTTAGGAAGTGACTTCGTCGAAAAGAAGAAAATCTTCTTCGGTGCAACTGCGTTTTGTCTTTCCGATGATTGGATGGGTGTATTCTGTTATTTTCAGTGGGTGTGAATAAATGTGGTCAACAATGTAATGATTTAAATTACGGTTCTGTTGCCCATGGAATCATAGAAAACAACAAAACGATGATGATGATGAAGTGGACAGACCTAACATTCTTTACGATCTACTTCAATATTCATAAAACCAAATGGACGGCTGCTCGTGTATGTAGAGGAGGAGTAAACCACTTGAAACTATAACTGCGTACAATATGATCATTACTTGGTGTTTTGACTTCGATTCCAATCCAGAAGATGAATTGAAACAAAAATTACAACTAAGTTTATATATATATATATATATATATATATATATATATATATATATATATATATATATATATATAAAGAACTAGATGGTATATATTTACAAAACCAACAGAAATTAATCGTATCATTCCTCACTAGTTGTATATTTCTGGTCTAAACAAACTAGGTGATTGCATACGATTCAGTACAGAAGCTGAAGCTGTTTCCATCTCTTCTAACTGATCTGTTAAACCTTCAGCTAATTTTATAGGTGATAATATAAAATGACTGTTATCATTATCAATGCCTATTGCATCACTGGCATTATTTACACTGGAATCCGATTCATTCAACGCCAGTAAATCAGAAAGCATACTAGCTGGAGAATATTCACCCCCACGACATAACAGTTTTTCTACATAACGCTAAAAAAGAATAAAGAGGAAAGAAAACACTAAGGATTTTTCGTAAATATTATATTTCTACTATGTGCAAATCTAAAAAAAAAGTCCTAACCCCTTTAATAACAAGCAGAAATTACATTACGGGCAATATGAAGTTTAAATCTGGCGAAACATACCAACTGACTGGATACAGACAGATAGACAGACAAATGAATGTAGAACCTTTATATAGGAGTGCATCAGTTCAAGTTATCACAATTCAAAGAAACAGAGTGCCAAATGATAAAATCTTGTAAATATCTACACAACTGAGACAATTCGGGTAGAGAACCTTGATCAGCATATAGTAGGTGTTTAGGACTCCCTTTACAATCAGATACTGCTACGACACCTCTAAACCAAAAGGGTCAAACACCACCTTTGGGTCGAGAAAAATACCAACTATCAGGGGTCTTGAGTGCTACTGGAAGCGTGAGGATTCTTGACACTTCCCGGCTACCTACATCGTGGAAGGCTATTTCTTCTTAAGGTATCTGAAAGAAAGATTTGTGACCGCTGAGTCCGTGGGACATCCACTTGAGGCCTGTCACACAGCCATTTGATGGTAGTTGGTGTGAGATGCGACTGCTCTAACGCTGGATAAGGAAAGCTCATACCGCCGGTATGGGAAGACCGTCAGGCAGGGAAGAGTACACTATTTTGGGGATCGATTTTTTCTACCCCACCCCACCCCCACTTCCACAGAGAAGGCAGCATCATTCAATGAGAAACAATTTACTGCTGTCACACATCGTCATCCAGTCGGCAGTAAGACCTCGCCATCAACAGCACACTATAATGCAGTGATTTACACAACAACACTATCCAACAGACCTTTCTGGCATGGTAGGACGGCTGTCTGGATTCTGTTCCAGACAGTGTAGCTCGCTGGGCCATCGTGATATGCAAACCCGACCACCATGTCAAGGTAGCAGCTATCGGTCGGGACTATCATGCTTTAGAACACCTAATTTAGAACTTTTCGAAAGGTGCTGATTTAAACTAAAATATTAATCATCAGAACGATGAAAAGAATAATATAGTATTGATACAACATAATACACACACTATTTCAGTTAGTATTACATGCTGAAGTATTTCATGAACGGTTATATATATTATGCGTAACAGTCATTTTAACCGTTCGAATGCATAGACCCATAATATCAGCTGAAATAGCTTTATCACATAAAATCTGATAATATAAGCTAAATATTGTTGAATCAGCTTTCCAACTACATCGATATGATGGTGATGTTCTTCAAATACTTACAGTATTTTTGTTTTCTACAGTTAAAGAACAGACTTTACATTCAGAGCAAAGACTACTTCTAGAGACTGAATAAACACAAACCTTAGGATTAATAGTTGCCTGATACTGTCTAGTAAAGTATGCTAAGGTCACTGGGATGATCTCAAAACTACTCTACTACAATCTCCTATACTGACTTGTACTTAACATTTAGCTACAAAGCAATTCAATCCCATAAAGAAGTTAGCTTCAAATATTATATTTTTCTCCTTGTTAAATCTTCTTTACGTCAAGTTGATTGACACTATGGATATAGGGTTGGAAACAACAGGATGCCTGTTGCTCCAGTTCCACTGTGTAGCACATCCCCTTTTGGAAATCAATGCACCTATAAAAAAAGATTCAATTTGGGGGTTTGTGCGGATTTATTGATTCCAGGTTAGTATTCATCATAGACTGGCATCAATTGGAGAAACATTAGACAGCTATTCCGCCCTAATATAGGACTCCTTATTACCACGCACCATGACCCCAGAGGGATTGAGCCCAGGACCACATTGGAAATGTGAACCATTGAATTCCCACCCAGTGGCTCAATGGTACCACGTTCACCGCGGAACCTGAGTTCGATCCCTGTGAGGTCATATGGGCACAGTAATAAGGAGTCCCATATTAGGACGAAACAGCTATCCAATGTTCTCAGGTTTCCAATGTTCTTCAGTCTAAGATGAATACTAACCTGAAATATAAAAAAGATGCCTTTTTGGAGGGAGGGGAAGAGAAATATAGTCAGTTGACTGTAATGAGTGACTTTAAATTCCACCTAAACAACTGCCGAGGTAACCAATTGCGTTTTTCTATCTTATGAAAGACTACTTTTCTAGCCGGAATACCGAGATCTAATTGGCTGCTTCCGCAGTTGCCAGAGTGACCTGTAAAGTCGCCCACTGCAGTTGGCACTACAATGATGGGGTGAATGTGGATTAACTGGACTCCAATAAAGAAGAAAACACTGTTGAAGTGGTGTGTTGTACACAGAAAAGTGTGCATAGTGACTAACCTTATAACATAGGTGTCAGATGTACCAGTTGAATTTGCCCATAATAAAATGAAAAATGACCATAAAATAATTTAGCCTTTTCTGAATCCAAACATGATAAATTATATACTTCCTAGTTTGTTAGAAACACTTTCATTAATCAGCTGGATATGCTTCAAAATGATCAGATATTTCTTGATAAAAGTGGTGAGCAAACAATTCCTCAAAATGTAGGTTGATTACTCATACAAATTGGGTCGATGTTGGAGTTGAAAAAATTGCACAATTTATGAAACAACTAGTCAGAAACGAGGAGATTATTTGTTGATTTTCGGTATGCGAAGGCTTTGAAAGTCATCAACGGTTAGCCAGAAATTCGCAATTACACATTACAATCTAGAATTCGAATTCAAATAGTTAAGGTTGAAAGGTATACGAGATATAAATATAGTCATACAACAGAAAGAAAGCAAGAAAGTAGGTTTATTTTACGGCACTGCTGCTGAAGACCTAAAAGAGGCTGCTTACTTAAAGCTAAACTTCAGTATTTGAAGAGTCAAGGTTATGATGGGTAACCTGATGCCAAACCGTAACCTAGTGCAGGCCCGTCTTTAATGATCTCCTTGACTTTAAGTCACACAAAACGTGTAGAAAAACTTGTAAATCTAACAAATGGGATAAAACTATCATATAATTTTATCAGTTTATCAATTTTATCCTTAAATACAACGATTGAAAGAGGAGGTACAATACACACAGCCCAAGATTACCTAACAAGTCGCTCAACGTATGTAAGATCTTGCGACTTCATCAGGTCAACAGTGATGAATCCAACAACCGGAAAATACTAAATTATAAATATAGCTCTTGAAGTCACTTAATGACAGTTTCTATAAACAGTCAGTGTATTCACCTGGATATGTCAGTCTTTTATACTAGATGCTGACACTTTACAGATATTTTAGAAAATGCCATCTGAAGGATAACTGAAGTCTCAGTATACGCAGATAGTGTATGCCGACCACATGACCTGATCTGAATACAAACTTGCAACGTGAATAACTTTCATTTACTCACAATTCTTACAAATGACTACCAGTCGGCCTTGTGCTGAAACGATGAGTGTGTATGTGTGTGTATGCGTGAGGGGATAGATGCATACTAAAATGAATCGTTGTGTCCCGCGAAAGGATCATCATCATCAAGATCAACATAGGACCAGGCATTACTGCATAACAGTTCAAGTTGCCACATCCTACATCAGGACATCAAGTAACAAGGCAATAAAATGGAAGATGAAGAAGGGAAGAAAAACCGGTCAGAGGAAGTAGAAAGTAGTAAAAGGGAGGGAGGAGGAATGAGAAAATGATGAGATTAGGTATATCGTTTAAGGCGAGGTTAATGTGCGTATACATCTGTGCCACTGACATAGGTTCTGAGCCATAATATTACCTTGAGTCCCCAACCACTGGTTTCTCTTGTTCCACGGACTCCAATCGGTTAGTCTGCATCGCCCTACATGACTCAAACGAACAGTCAAGGACTTCATGCATTGATGCTCTGAAAGCAGCTTGTAGTTCCCTTAATTGACAGTTGGCCTGAACGGTAAGTACTAAGATAATAAAGACTTTAAAGTAAGTTTAGTAGTGAATCTACTACACCTGCCTATTTTATTTGTGTCAATCAGTTAGTCGCCGTAAGTCATCGATGTGGTTGGTCTCTGTAGACTTTTTATCCACTTTCTTTAGTTTGATATGCTCAAAACTTCAATTTTATTTTGTTTTTATTCAAAGTGTGAATATTTAAGCTTTAGAAGATGTGTAGAAGTGAATACATCTGCGCCATTGTGACCTATTTTCAGCCATGCCACCAAGAGTTCTCAACCACTGATTTCTGTCATCTCAGAGACCTTAGTCAGGCAGTCAACATCGCTCCATATGACTCAGACCAACAACAAGAGACTTGAACGACTAATGCCAGGTCTTGGTCTGACCACCCTGAACCCTCTTTCAACCTAATCCGAATTCCCCCTGCATGGCACGTCGAGGTAAGGTGTGGCTCGGTGTGCGTAGTACATGTCTAAGCCATCTCAGTCGACTTGCCTGTCTAGCCTAGTACTTTTCACCTGACCTCAACATTCCTTACATGGTGATTCCACCACATGTGAGTAATGCTACGAAGACACTTATGGTCAAACAGCTGCAACTGTTTCATGTTTCCTACTTTTAACGGCCATGTCTCACAACCGCACAACAGGAGAGAACGGACTGCAGAGCAGTTCACTCATCCTTTGATAGATAGCCGGATATCCCGCCGATGCCATAGGTGACGCAACTCGGCAAATGTCAAACGGGCCTTCTGTATCCCAGCTGAGGTCGTGTCAGCAACCAGACCGTTCGGGTTGATGTAACTCCCCAAATAAGTGAAATGGTACACATATTCCACCATTTGACTCCCTATCATTAAGCTAGAAGTCGTTACATACCAGTCCTGGAGCAGTATCACGCTCGAGAAAACATCAGATAGTTGAAATAGATATGATTTCTGTGAAATAATGTGTTACTGAATAAGATTTATTACGACATGAGAAATTGTGAGACAGCAGTTCAACTAAATACGAGTAATTCGCATAAATTTACCTGTCCATTTGAAGAATTCCAAGGATCTTTCGAAAAGTAACGCCGCCATACTAGATCAGCTCCAGCTCTTGCCATTAAATAAGAATAATAACGTCCACCATAATTGACTAGATGGGTGAAACGGTGAGGCCATGCACTTAAATGAGCTGGTGAACAACTCGACCAATCAGACAGGCCAACATTACACTGAATATCTGAAAGTAGCTTAGTAGAGGCCGGCCATAAACCTATCGAACCTTGAGCTAATTTGAATACGGTAGTAAGGTATTCTCAGTTGGACCTGAGTGTAAGACTTGATCCAGAATAGCATAAGTGGCCTGAAAAAAATTGTGTAAATCAACGAAATGCTAAAAACTTGTACGACCAAAAAAGACTTACTACATACGCCTTCATTTCGTCAAAATATTCAAAATGGAAACAGTTGAGTCATAGAAAAAACCAGGTTAAATGCTTTATGGCGATAAATTCTCACTATAATTCGGATGCACATGATTTCCGAATCATACTTACATTCTTACTAAAGGAGTTGAGCGTATTAGTAAGACAATGCACATATGAAGTAGTATGCAAGACACGGCCGTTGAAAGTAAAAGACATGAAACAGTTACAGGGTTTTAATCACAGGTATATTCGTAGCATTGCTTGTGTTTGGTCAGATCATTATGTGAGCAATGTTGAGGTCAGGCGAAGGCACTGGACAAGATGGGGAAGTTGACGGATCAGTTTTTGTACCTTCGTTGATTGAGGTGGCTTCTATATGAACTGCAAATGCCGAGGAAACCACCTTCCACCAAGATGTGCCATGCCAGGGAAGTTGGACTAGGTTGTAAGCCGGTTCAGGGTAGCTAGGCGAAGACTTGGAACCGGTTCATGAAGTCCCCGACTGCTGGTCTGAGCCGCGTGAGATCGGTGTTACATACTTGGTCGGTACTTCCTTTCAGGCAGACATTGTCACATCACCTCACGGTTAATAGAGTTGAATGCCGTCTTCATTTTAAGAGATATGTTAAGTGTCGACCACTGGCTAGTAAGTATGTTCATGTTCCAGGACCTGTCGGAGGGTGAAAAGATAGTCAATGCACCCTCGTCAGGTCTGAAACCCACTAGGACCTTCATAATTCGCTGTTCTGGTGTTACATTTAGGTGTCAAAAAAATATGAACCCCAAGATACTGGACACTACATTGATCGAAGTGAGTTCCCTGTGGTGGTCACAGGAAGACTTCTCTCTCTTCTTACAAACTGAGAGGAATAGGGAAGTAGATCAGTCTGACGGCAATGCAACTGATTCCCATACACTGCGCAGTAACTCCATCACTTTAAGCAGTAACTTCCTACCAACATCCTGGAAAACGTTTGGTTGCAAACTGTCAGGTCCTACTGCTTTGCGTCGTTTCGGGTTCGATACAGCCTTTTCAACTTCAAAGAGAGAGAGTTGAAGGGCCGATACCTACCTCACGTTCAGGTTCGGGCTGGATGTAGGGTAACTGAAGAGTTGGTGAAGGCCAACTGAACTGTGCTCCAAAGCGTTTTGCCCAGCATGCTAGCCACCTATTCTGGAAGGTTATCAGTGTCTCATTCTTTTCAGTGATGGTTTCGCTGACCATTGTTTTCTTTTTATCGGTATCCTTATTAAACCTAAATAGTTCCTGGATGTTGCCTAACACAATCCTTCTCCATCTAGCCACCCAACCACTCCTTGTAATTGACGTGAGGTCCCTTAGTCAAATATTTCTGAGATGCTTTCGCTCTTTATCGTGGTCAGAACTCACTGCAATCAGTCTTCTGGCATAGATCAGTTCGGACGTTTGCTGACCTTCAGGTGTTCACTTCTAAATGTCTTAATCGCTGCTTCTATATAGACTTTATGTCATCCCAAATTGACCAAGGATGAGTATTCCTGTCATGTTCATATTAATGCTTAGCTTACCCCTCTTTAAATACGTATTTAGCTTCCTCATCTTTCAACCGACAGTCTTCACTGTCACCTGTTTCCTCGGACCAGTAAGGTGTCGACATACACGAGTACGTACTAAGGCGTGATAATAGTCAAAACAGGTACTCCAGAAAAGACGACAATTCCTCGAACGATGGTCTATAGCAATATGATCTATATGTATCTATCGTTGGTTCCATGTCGGTGGATGCTATGTGAGACAGTGTCTCTCCTTATGCTTAGAGTTAGTTAGTTAATAACCATACTCGGGTCCTGTATTCGTGTCTCAGAAATACAGCATACATCCACGGCTATAAATTCCAGAGTTCAAGAAAGCGACGCTTGGTGTCCGATGTGGCATAGAGTTCGGATACTAGGGATGAGGTTTCAATGTCTTTGATCGTTGGTAATGTTAGCAGAGTGAGGGGTTGTAGGAGGTGTTAGGGATCTAATATTAGTATCAGGAAGTGAAGGCAAAGGAAGAAACAGAAAACAGGAGGATAGGTTGTATTTGACTGGGTCTTGTGTACTACTGGAAGCATGCAAGCGGTTGACACTTCCCGGTTGCCCACACCGTAGAAGGGTAGTTTTTCTTGAGGAGCCTGAAAAAGAAAGGATAGTGTGGGATCGTGCAGCCCATGGGACATCTGCTTGAGGCCAGTCACACATGACGTTTTTGCAAGTTTGAGATTACGGTATTTTGCCTTCGAATCTGATTATGAATATCTGTTGCAGGCATCGGCACATAGTGCAAGGAATGGAAGTGTGCTATTTTTTGGACCGATCTTTTCTAACCACCCCTCCTCCCATAGGGGAGGCAGTATCAGCGTGGCACAGTGTTGATTGAAGGGAAACACCTTACTGTTGTCACACACTCCCATTCAGTCAGCCGTACGACTTCGCCTTCAGACCTCCATCATAGTGTAGCAATCTACACCATAGTGGAAACTGGTTTTCGTCTTACTACTATCCAAGAGACCTTTCTGGCGCGTTAGAACCTCGAGGGAAAAAGCTTTCCAAAAGCATAGCTCATTGGGTCATTGTGATATACAAGCCCGAACACAACGTTAAGGTAGCAACTATCGCCCCGGTACTGGGTCGCCAAAAGTTAGACAACGCATTTGGTTAAATTCCCACTACTTTTCATCACTGACAGTAGTAAAACCAGTTTTTGAAACTATAAATAAACAACCGGATTTTCAATGTGGTACTCACCTCAGTTTATAACAATGTGACAGCTAACGAAACCACCTGACTATCCAAATTGTGGTAGAGAGAGTACATTTGAGGCTTCCTATGCTCCAAAGAGCAGTAGTAGTCAAATGCCTAAACCCCTGTGCAGCATTCGCGTAACTGAATATGAGATCGATTTACAACTAATACATCTCTTACTAGTGGATATCCATCAATTGTAAGTTCTAAATATACTTAGTAGATGCAGAAATACAACCGATGTTCATAATATATACCCCATGTGATCCGGTTATTAGTTGATGCCGATTGGTGAGATTTAGATAATTTTTGCTTTGGGGATCCACCAACTGGAAGGATAAGCATACCGATGTGTGGTTTGTTGAAGTTTGATTGATTGGCTTAGAAACTCGACTTACTACAAGTGCATCAGTTGTCTGAATATCATAACGACCCCCGCTTAGGCTAAGAAAAACAGGTAGTATCTTCAACCCGCAAACAATAGGTGTTGTTAATAGTATAGTGAACAGAAATATCAATGGTTGTCGAATTAGCCTTTTACTCTATTGGTTTTTCTACAAAGAGCTAAAATCAAAACACTGAACATTAGTAACTTATCACCCACTAAGGCTAATATTAGTTAAGATAACTGTCATGGCTAACATGTTATCTCCCCTATTAAAATATACAGACTAGGTTGGTATTCATCATGAACTGGCATCAGTTGGAGAAATACTGGGAACCTTATAGGACTAGATAGATCTTCCGTCCTAGTATGAGACTCTTCAGCAGTGCGCATTCATGACCCCACCAGGGGATCGAACCCAGGACCTTCAGGTTACGCAGACTGCACGTTGCTATTGAGCCGATGGATCAAAACCCGATGGTCCATATTTTCTAGTTCTGTTAGTTCATGACATATTCCAACCATCATCCAATGTCGTCGCTGAGCATCTGTCTTTATATCCGACTTGGTTGGGCCCATCGGTCACTTCTCATTAGAACTTGGAGAATCACCTCTCGAAGCGACTCACAAATCTCCAAATTGAATAATAATTAGGGTTTTCATGTCAATGATACAATTCGTTCGGAATAACACTTTACACCATCAACAAAAGAAACACACACCTGCTGACTAACTTCTACACTTTGACCAAGTCCACGACTAATAGACAATTGTTCTAATGCTTTCATTTCGTTAGAATCTGGTTTTCCACCTGTTTTCCAATGTCTAGCATACTCTGATGTTACGCGTGAATCAAATGCGAAGTGTTCAAACAAAGTTGATGGCAATTCAGCTAAATCAGTGCTACACCTATGAAATAATAACAAAAACAAAGGAGAGATAAGTGATTCACTCGATAAGTAACAAATCAAAAGTAATATTCAACAGTAAAAATAATTCTTATACAGAGAGAAGTTACTTATCCAGTGTGTTCATTCCCCTGAAGATGCTACATCCTTTTACAGTTATAAAATGAACACTTAAAAAATGTTGTAGAGAAATCAAAAAAGGTTTATCAATCTAGAAAGATTGGAATTACCAGAGGAGAAGGTAAACAATTCTAACCAAAGCAGCCTTCTAGCAATTGTTGAGTTTATCCTTTGTGAAGTGCTATATTTCTTTTTTCAGCTTTAAATATATTTTCAGGTCTATAGAGCTGATTGATAATATCTCTGACAGTGAACGCGAAATGATACAGGTTCGAATCTTTGTGAAGACGAGCACAAAATTTACACCACTATACAGTTGCTTAGTAGTATTTCTTTTATTATTTTCAAAATGAGCAAAATTCATGATTTTCTTCACTTCTAATACAAACGAAGTAGTTACTCGTTTGGTAGCTTTCCTAGCCAAAGACACTTCGTTCACAACTTATAATTATAGGAAAAGACGAAACGCGGTTGCAGTGAAGAAAAATTTTTCTTTCCGACAAAGTCATAATTAGTGACAAACTTGTTACAATTTGAAATAAATGGAAGTTTTACTAAGAGCAAATAAGAAAAAACGTAACGACAATAAAGTAAATCAACACGTATATTATCCTAAAACGCCTGACTACCATTGATACGATTAATGTTCTCTACATTATGACAACTAAAAAGCCAACACTAATGATAATAGACACTGAAACTGATGATATAACTCAGTAACCTAGTGAAGGCTTGATTTTTAAGCATCTAGGATACTACCTGCTTGTTCAGATTGAAGTATGAACCTGGAGTTCATTGTTTGAGAGCGGTGATAATGGAGCACAGAGTACCAAAGCGAGGCGCTGAAAGCTGGAATACATTGACCATTGGGGTCCTAAATCCAACAAGTTCTCTGAAAAGAGTTAAACTTCGAATCCATCTAATTTGGTCATAACGGTCATCCCACATAAAACAGACACAGTTAAGATCCCAATGACTAAGTATACATACGGTTTTCGTTATTTTCATTTCTATTTGTTTGCAAAAATGTCCCATGTTTGGCGTTCAGAACATATCATAAAGAAGAAATTATGGTATGATTTCATAGTTTCCGGTAATTACTTATTTGATTGATGATAGAACAGTTTAGTAAGAATTACTACCTTGGTGTACTAATAGATAAGCAATGGATGGGTGTTGTCGAAAGTCTTCTGATGTTATGTAACAGAGTAAATGGTATGTATCTGTGCCCCGATATGGTTAAGAGTCATGTAACACCATATGTGCAATAATGATTTATAGAGCCTTTAGTCCCTCATTTTTAACTACTACTTACTGGTCAGCATAATTTTTCATCGACAAATCATAATGTATATAACAACGAAAACAAGTTTTAGACTAACCGAGTTCCTGTAACATGCTGATATCGTGTGCGTGCAAGCATAGAGTGCAAGGCATGACCCCATTCGTGAAATAAATTCTCTACTTGTCCCAGACTAAGTAGTGGAGGTATACCTTTTGACGGTGACGGAGATAATGTAAGCTGAAGTGTAATAATTGGGGACTGATATGATGTATTAGCTGAATCACTACATAGGCGCCGACCACCACGAATTGTATAGTGACAATCCTGAGAGATGATAAGAGGAAAAAGAAAGCTTTAAAGTAAATCCTATGGAAGGTTAAATATTTAACACTAGTAAACAATTACACGGCGAACTAAATATTTCACCAGAGAAATAAAGATCAACTTTTCTATCACCAAATGATAAGCAAACATAATAGCAGCAAACATTCTTCGGATATATCTACCCGAAAAAATGATACGAACTAGGCCAATACGACCCTATTTAAAACCAAACAACTGAACAGTGACTCGATGGATGGGTCTCTTATACTCGTTTATGTTTCTCAACTCATCTACTGACAGATCGAAATAAAGTTAAAGAGAGAATTGGATGTGCATATTTTGGTGAAGTGGGTGTGTATTTACAGGTTTTGATACCATGACCTTGCAAATGACCCCAAAAGCTTGAGTCTGGACAACTGAAGTAACATACCTCTCGAAGTTTTGAAAATTCATTGGTGATGTAGTTGGGAATAAATGTATTTCTGATAGTTTTAGCCCAAGTTTTTGGGAAATAATGACATCTAACAAAACCAACTTTGTGTTCCGAACCACAACTGAAGTTTTTCTCTAGTGCGATGGCCCTACTAAGAGGATGGTGTTGGGGTCCGATAAGTGATCGTAAAAGAAAGCATATGACGAAGTTCTCAACATGAAGCGCCTAGTATGGCTGGCATCTGAGTTACGTAGGTACAGTCACCATCATTGATGACTGGAATATAATCAAAAGAGAATCAGTATCTAAGCGCTTTGAATCAGGTCTAGAGGTTTTTAAACTGGTAGTTGAGTCACGGTTAAATAATTCACTAGTTACTAGCAGGTCCTAAGCCCGGGCAAAGAAGGAAGGTTGAGCATAGGGCTAGCGACCCTACCCCGTAAAACCAATCCAATCCCTAAAGAAACTTCAAAGCACAAAGAAAAAATAGAAAATAAAAATAAACTTATTCCTCGCTGGAACCGGAGAGACAAAATGACGCTGTTTGGTGAAAGCCTTCGAGAAGCCAGTCAGCCGATCTGTCTTCTCTTCTCTCGATGGAAGCGAAAGTAGGAATGAAGGTATGGGATGTCCGCACAATGTTTGAAGCTGGCTGGCAAGGCTGTCCAGATTGCGAAAGAGATGAGGAGGTATGACATGGAAGTGCTTGGAATCTGAGAAAGCAGATGGAATGAGAGTGGACTCTCCCAACTGTCAACTGCAGAGTCAATAATCTATTCCGATATTGTCAACCAGATGACAACCACGATCACACTGAGTTATTTAGTGGCTATCATGATGTCTCCAAGAGCATCGAAGGCTCTCAGATAGTGGGAACCAATCTCCTCTAGGATCATGACGGGAAGATTCAACTCAAAAGGAAGGAAAGTCACGACCATTCAATGCAACGCTACGCACCTACAAATAATGCAGATCAAGAGAAGAAGGAGGAATTCTACAGACAACTGCAATCAGTGCTGGACAAGACCGCACCCCAGTTGGCGACATCAATGCCAAACTCGGTGCAGACAACACAGGAAGAGAACTCATCATGGGTGGAGAAGCACTTGGTGAAATGAATGAGAATGGAGAACTGTTTGCAGATTTCTGCACATTCAACGATTTGGTGATTGGAGGCACTGTGTTCAAGCACAAGGATATCCACAGAGCGACATGGACTTCACCAGATACCAGGACACACTAAAAATCACATCGACTTCATATCAATGTGAAGAAAGTGGAGGCGCAGTCTACTGGACACAAGGTCAGATCAAGAAGGTGAGCAGATGTAAGTTCACACCACTCACTACCTAGTGCAAGGAACCTTCCACATCAAGTTGAAAACCTTCAAAGAAGTTGGTGATAGACCACAGTTCAAGTCCAACACCCACCCAGAAACTGAACTGAAGGACGGAAGTACAAAGGATATCTTCATGCCAGCCATCAGGACGAAATGTAAGACATTAAGCGAAACCCCTGAAGGGACCTGTATGGAAGAATACTGGAACTCTTTGAAAGAGATGTGGAAAGGAACCTGCATAACCGTATCAGAAAGGAAGAAAAAAGAAGATAAGGAATATATCTCGACGGGTACATGAAAGATAATGGAGGAAACCTAGTTACCAAAGAGGAGAAACAAAGAAAACGATAGACTGACCACTTGAAAAAACTTATGAATCGACCACCACCTGCAACTCGTCAAGAAATACCATCAGCAACCGCAGAATTACAAGTGAATACAAGCCCTCCGACGAAAGCCGAAGTCCTGAAAGCCATAAAGTTGCTGGAAGCCGGAAAATCAATAGGATCAGATGGAATTCCACCAGAAGCACTGAAAACAGACGCAGAGACAACAGTGGACATGCTCACACCACTACTGCAGAAGGTTTGGAAGGAAGGAAAAGTACCTGCAGATTGGAAGAAGGGCTACCCTGTCAAAGTCTCAAAAACTGGCGCGGAATCATGCTCCTGTCCACACCAAGAAAAATATTAAGCAGCATCATCCTGGTGAGACTAAACGACGCGCTGCATTCAAAATTACAACCGGAACGGGCTGGATTCAGGAAGTACAAATCATGTGCGGTTCAAATTTCAATGCTACACTACATATCATCATAGAATAGAGCAATCAACTGGATCTTTACCTCAACTTCGTCGACTTTGAAAACGCCTTCGACAGCGTCGACCGACAGTTAATTTGGCAGCTGCTTCAATACTACGGAATACCACAAACCTTCATCAATCTCATTCAACAGCTATATGAAGACGCCGCATGCCAAGTGATTCGCAATGGAAAGCTCAGCTCAGTGACGCCTTTGAAGTGAAGACAGGAGTAAGACAAGGCTGCCACCTACTATCACCGATCATCTTCCTGATTGTGGTGGACTGCATCATGAAGCAAAGTGTGAGAAGCGAGAAGAGGAGCATACGCTGGCTGGACCGATGAAAAAACCTTAGAAAATTTGGATTTCGCCAATGATTTATGTCTAATGTCTTGTCACACAAACTCGAAGACCTACAGGCAAAAACCAACAAGTTGACAGAAGAGGCAACGAAAACGGGACTTCAAGTGAACGCAGAGAAAACAGAGGTGATCAAGATACCCAACCAACAACAACAGGCACTAATCACCATCAACGGGAGAAACCTAAAGGAAGTAGTCTCTTTCACCTACATAGACAGCATCGTTTTAACTACAGGCGGTGGCACAGATCAAGATGTCAAAGCCAGGATCGGAAAAGCAAGATAGGCTTTCATTAATCTGAAATCAGTGTGGAGATCTACTGCACTCCACTCATCAGAAAAAACAAGAACCAGATTTTCAACACCAACGTCAGTCAAGTCAGTGCTTCTCTATGGTTCAGAAACTTCGTGCGTCACGAAAAAGCATTTCCAACAAATTACAGACATTCACCAACAGCTGCCTACGCTGAAGATACTGAAGATCAGATGGCCAGAATACTAAGAATAAGCAACAAGGAACTCTGGTTGGCAACGAACCAACCAACAACCCATTGTCCAACAAATATGCAGAAGAAAGTGGAGATGAAGTGGATTGGGTATACACTGAGAAAACGACTCGGAGACACCACGCGCCAGGCACTCAAGTTGGGCGTCCCAGATGAGGGTGACATGGAGATTATGTGAGGAAGAGGTGAAAGCTTCTGGGCAGTCGTGGAACCAGGTTCAAAAGACTGCAGAGAAGAGAATGGGGTGGAGACGTGCTACTGAAGCCCTATGTTCCACTAGGAACCCAAGAGGTAAATAATAATGAGTCATATAGGCTAAATGAATGTTTGATGACTAGGGTCTGCTAAACAGCTATAGCTAGCACATGAAGACCGCAAGTTTCACCAATAAAAACCAGTGCCTATTACACAGACATATTTGCTTTTGATATCAGTATGACAATTCTACTCGTGGTCAGTCACCGCAAGTTTTGAGTTAATTTAAGCATTTATTCTAGATTTCAGTTTCCTGTTACAATGGTATTTCCAAGTAATGTTGCTAATATTGAACATAAGATTAATAGCATACTATTTGGCTGATATTTTAATCTACCAGTGATAAATTTCTCTGAAATAGATTTATTATTATTATGAGAACACAAACATGGTACAGCAAGAGCACCAAAAAATGCGACGCACAAAATAATATAATAACATTATGAAGGCATAAAGCGAAGGGAATCGGATAAAAATAAAACACAATAAGAGTAGAGTGATTAAAAGACCAGTCCAGTAGGATACATTCAAAACAAAATATTCATTACTTTTTAGCACAAAAAGATAGAAGGAAGCTACTGTATGACTGCTACTGGGTTCGATTCTTACCCATATCTGATAACGTCTCAAACCACTGAGTTGTGTGATCCCTCAGACTTCACCTAGGGAGTTGTGATGTACCTACAGATGCTAACCCGATACAACAATCCTTGATCTCACGGAGCCACGTCATTCATTGACCATCCCTCCGCTTCTTCTACCTAGTCTAAGGGCTAGCAAACAATGGACGCTACGGAAGCTATTAGGACGACATGCGTAACACATGACCAAGCCACCAAAGCCGGTGTTTCAAGATGACTTCGCTTATTGAATGACGATCTCCATCATGCCCAAACACGTTGTACCTCAGGATTACTTCCATGGTGTTGCCACCGGATATGAGCAATCCTACGAAAACAACGATCATGGAACACACAGTGTCATCGCATGTCCTCAGCGCGGAGAGACTAGGTTTCACAGGGCAGATCAGAACTGCTAGCACCGAAGCGTTGTAAACCCCATCTTTTACGTTCAGACTAACGTTGAGATGGCACCGAAGTTGGTCCATATTGAAGTACGCTACTCTGGCTTTTGATATGCGGCTGGAAATTTCACCACACGACTACCCAGATACACGAACTTTTTGACTACTTCAAACGGCTCACCGTCGCGCATGAGTGCAGTTACAGTGTTACAGTGTTGCAAAAGTATTTCGCACTTGGACATGTACTTACACGTACTTACAAACACGGATGATTTTGATGGTGCTGTGTTCTCTCAACTGGATGGTTTAATCGTGAAGCTTCCACTTTTATTCTAGATATTATCTTTAGCACTAACTTCAGAAAGAAGTTTTTGCTAATGATATCGCCTGGAGCGGCAACGGAAGCTTCACGGTTAAAACACCCAGCAACACAATCTCGAGAAGAAAAACCGACTATAAGGGTATAAATAATACAGCAGCAACTGTAAACAAATAAGCTAAGCTGACATACTTGTGCTGGTTTACCAGGACGATCAAGTAAATCACAATATACTGTTCCAATAGGTTCGGTAGAATTACTTTTATTTGAATAGACATACACTTTGATAACAGATGGATGCCATGTTTCACCGGCTTGGACTGGTGCAACTTCTAGACGCAATCCAAATAAGCAGTTGGCTAACTGACTTACACCTTCCATACAGGCACCCAAAGAAAAGTAATCTGCTAAATGCTATGATAAGAAAAATAAGAAGTCGTAAGAGAATTTCGAGGGCTTTCGAAAATAAAGACTAGGATTCATAAGCGATATATTTAAGCAGTCGATAATATTATTATGAAAAAGGATACAAGAGTACCGGTTGAATATACCAAAAAATATGAATTTTCGGTAGTGCACCAATGAATGAAGACGTTGAAGCTAAAGCATTTCACGATTTGAAGTCACAGTGGAACCTGCAGTGTTTAAATTTCTTGCGAAATTTGATCTTAAGTGTTACACTATACATCAACGAAATACTGGTAAACTCCCGGATTTTAATTTATCACATGCAAATTTCAATCCATGCATCAACCAGATCATAACTTCATCTATTTAGCCATTTATAATTTCGAAAAAATGAAGGGCATTGAGCAAGTAGACTGGAAGGTATTCCGTATTCTCTGGTAAAGTTCAAAGTATAGTAGCGTCTGCTGATTCGAAAACTTATCAACCAGTCGCGAAATAAACAACTCGTTTCTGCTCGCTAACAAACTATACAGTCTAGACAACAGTGGAAAGAAACCTAGCTGAATGGTAACGAGATTACCATGATACATGAACTCAATCCCTTACGATGTTGCTGGAATGCACTGCTGACGAGGTCTTCTCTCTGATGTCAACCTGTGCAGAAAACTATATCGAAGTAAAACAGCACAGAGCCAACAGATACACTGAATACGAACAGACTAAATCGCACAGATATAAAGCATTAATATGCCATGTCTGACAAACAACCTGAATACCATGAATAAACGAAACTAATCGTCAACATGCCAGTAACCAAATATAGGACATATAGGAGGTCAAATATTTTAATTTTCTGTTTTTCTTTCAGAGCCTTGTTGCTTACTTTCCCTGGAGATGCGTTAACAGCTCACTTTTCTAGTTAATAGTATACAACCGATTATAAGTTCTGCAAAGTCTTTCTCTCTGGTGGCTTGAATAAACAGCGAATGTAAGAGAATAACTTGGGCACTGGGTAAGGTATAATTGCATATTGACTGGATGACGTTTTGAGCAGAATTTATTGCTCATATTCATATTAAATAAACAAATCTAATATGGAACTGTTCTCGAATATCATGATTTCAATTATTTTTAAATAATAACACCGAAAAATCCCATGTTTTATATGTTGTGGATTATATTTATCTCGATAGAATTCCATTTTCTATTTTAACAGTGGTTTATCAACTATGTGTGCTGAAAATGAATTATCGTTCAATGCATACAGTAAAGCTCCACTCTGCAAAAAAACAAAAACAACGTTAACGGTAGTAGGCGCACAAAGTAGGAGTAGAACCTCTGCTTACAATGTAAACTGTAAATAGATGAACACCAGAAATACAAAAACGTCCACATGACATCATTGCGGTAAAATATTTAATTCCTTTCTTATCGGAAGATTCACAGATGGTATATACACTAAACAATAAAGGCGGAACTTACATGACTGTATAGTGCATTACGTCTAATCATGAGAGCATAAGGTAAGTCACTAGGCCAAATCAAATTTGGATTATAATTAATCTGTACATTATCAGCCATTTTTTGATGGGAACCTTTTACAATCGGTAACAATTGCTCTTTAACTACTTCAGTAGCAATAGGATGAAGTTTTACGCATACATGCTGAAGAAACTCATCAATATTCTTGGGTGTTTCAGCTAGACTATGAAGCGTAGCACGTTGGGAAAAACTTTCAAAGCCAGCAGCTCTAAAAAATAACAACAGTAATAAACAAATAGTTTAAAAAATTACTACTTTCAATGAAGCGAATAACAATATTACCCACAGGAACCTTTGTCAGTTAGGTAATACCATCAGAAATAGTTCAAGTGAATAAGTGCCTTAAGCCTATTGGAAATACTGTTCATAGATGTAAGTGCATTTCGCTTTAGCGGTTATTACTGTTTGATCATGAATAATCCTATTTAATTGGCAGCTCAGCAACTCTGAACGAGGTTATGCCCTCAGTTATGAGTTATACTTGATGATATGAGGGTTTGTAATGGAATCCACTAATCCAGAAAGAAATAAACAGTGTAGCGTTCAAATCTGGAATCCATTGTTTAAGAGCTGACAGCAACATGTACACTAAATAATCTTCGTACATATGCCACAATGGTCTACATAAATTCCAACTTTATCTTCCATTACGTCTCCATTATTTTACTTTACAAATCACTGTTGTTCACTGTTCATAGGCGATAACCGGAGAAAATTCAGTTTGACTTCTAAAACATTTGAAATTTAAGATTCCTTAGTCATTCGACGCTAAACTGAAGTTCGAGAATATAACACTCAAAATAGTCAGGTAGATTTCAAACAAGACAATATTAACGTAGAACCTTGCACAGAAATGCATTGGTTAGAATTCACACACCTCACAGGAGCATGCAAAGAACAAGAGGATAGATAAATAGTAACACTGATGCCAATAAAGGGGCATGGGAAGGGAAAGAAGTTGCAAAATTAAGGTAAGTGAAAATTTCATACTTTAAAAAACGTCAAACAGTGCTTCGTTGTGACCGATCTTCAGGCGTTTCACCAAAGATCTCCAACCAATAGTTCCTATTATCTCGAGGACATCAATCAGAAAGTATATGACTCTACACAGTTCAGAACAACAGTAAGAGACTTCATGAACTGGTCTACTTCATGCTCAAGTCATCATATGCCTTCTTCTAGCCTAATCATACTTCGCTTAATAGTGAATGGCGATGTAGGAAGTGGTTCGGGATACACAACAAATGTCTAACCTACTTCAGTCAACCAAGGTTCACAACCTCATCGACTGACTTGCGTTCCTTGTATATTAACCCGCACCTAACCTCGATATTGTCGACAGGTTGATTCCACTACAAGGAAGCAGTGCTTTGAAGAAACCTGTAGTCTCTGCATGCCATCTACTTTCAAGGGTTATGTCTCACAGCCGTATAATAAGGTAGAGTGAACTGCAGCGCAGCATACTCGTCCTTTGATATATAGTCGGATACCTTCTCGGCGCGACAGACGATGCAAATTGGCAATTGTCAAACTGGTCTTTAGTATTTTAGCTAACATTTCGTCGACATATGTGGTTTGATGCAAATTTTCAAGTGAGTGAAGCAATCAACGAATTCTACCACTTCACTCCCTATCCCTAAATTAGGAATTGATGTAGATCAGTCCTGAAGCATCACCTTACATTTGACAGATGCCAAAAATATGCTAAACCCACTGATTTCCGTTCAAGTCACTTATAAGCCTATGTAATTTATCAGAATTTTCGCCTGGTCTGTATACTTTATGTAAGCTAGGTCTCCAGGAAGCAGGTCAAGCCCATCAAATTGGAGGTGTCTATGGTTATGTCCATTAGCAAGTCTATAACAAAGTTAAGCAGAATTGGGGATAAGGGGTTTTTCCTGGGAGACCACTGGTAGTCTGTGCTTCAAACGATAACCCTCCATAAGCCCATAGCTGTGAGACTACGACTAGACAGCTTTGATTGACATTACATACTTCTTAGGTACTCCATTCACAATCAGACGCTGACACAACACCTCTAGTCGAGAGTCAAATACCACCTTTAGGTCAGGAAATATGAGAAGTGTCGGTCGACGGTTAGTATGTCTATCTTCCAAAACCTCTTAAAGAGTGAAAATTAGGTCGATGCACTCTCATCCAAGTCTGAAAACTCCCTGTTTTTCTAGAGTTTCTTGTTCTCAAACCAGAGTTAGACGTCGAATAATCATGGACCCTGTTCAAAATGTTCTCTCTATAGTTTTGACAAGAATACTTGTCTCCTTTCCTATGGGTTGGAATAACTAACGATACAGACTAGTCTGTGGAGACCACCTCGGAATCACAAACACCAGTTAGCACTTCCGTTGACAAACTCAATAACTCTTTATCCCTATCCGTAAAAATTCTGGTGGGAAACCGTAGATTTCTGCTGCTCTGTATCGTTTCAGGTTTGAAACAGTCTTTTCAACCTCAAGGGAAGTTGCAAGACCAACACCTATGTCACATTCAGGCTCGAGCTGGATACTGGGGAACTGAAACCTGGCTTTAGGTTACTCAAGGTGTTCCGCCCAGAAGTCTAGCCGCCTATCTTAAAGGTTACCACAGATCCATCCTTTCGGCAACGATCTCACTAACCATTCTTTTCTTCTTGCCAGTATCTATAATAAGCCAAAACAACACCCCATCACTACTTAGTGTTGATGCTTTCATCTATTTCGCTTTCGCCATCCATTTCCCCTACCACGCTCCTTATAGGTTCATTGCGAGTACCATTTGTCAATTTAAATTTAAGCTGCTTTTGCTTCTTTTGTAAGGTTAATCATCACAGCATAGACTACTGAAAGAACCTTGCAATTCCCTGATAGCCTTAACAACCAATCACATACCAAACATCCGCGAAAAATCGCGCTTTCATAAGTGAGCTTTAGATTGGCTCAATGTATTTCCGGAAAACTGTAAAAGATATCAAAGCCCCAGAAAAAATACCATTACGTTTTGTACACGTTTTGACTTGACCTCGCAGCTCAGTTGGTAGAGCATCGGGCCAGAAACCTAGTGGTCGCTGGTTAGAATCCAGCCGCGGTCCAAATTTCCATTCCACCTTCAATCATCAACTAGTATAAATACACCTTTCATCATTTATTCGCTGCTTTTCAATTTTAAAGAAACTAGCGACCCGCGAGGGCTAAGTCTAAGGTCATTGTCCCAGAGTCCACACTTATGTCAGCTACTTACTTTATATCAGCTGCTCAGAGTGATCAAAGCCAGTTAAAATGAGTTTTATCACGTCGTCAGTTGTGATGAAGTTGCAAAGATCCATTGGCTTTTGCAACGCTTCGGATGTAGGTTATCAACTGTCTTTACTTCCATCTCTATACGAAACTGAATACCACACCAGGCTTCTTCAGTAACCGATTTTCTGTTGCGTTTAGGCAAATAATTACCTAACACTTTTTTAAATACATTCCTGACATTTTGATCTTGCATCGGAGAACACAAAAGCTTTATTGCTCTAAGCACAAATATATCTTAGATCCGTCTGACTTCACATAGATTGATCAACTACCTGCAGGTCATCTGGTTGACTTGGAGTATATAAACGAGATTGTCCAGATAGGTGGATACGCTGACGCAATGCAGGGTCTTCTGAACGCGTTGAGCAGAAATCTTAGAGTTTGGCGTGCATTTCGCACCTGTCACTGGTCTGCATCAACTCTCAGTATGACGATAAAGAGTGAAGCGGAGGAATACGGCTGAGACATCGGCGTTAAAAGTAGAAGACATGAAGTGATTACTGGGTTTCAATCACAGATGTCTTCCTAGTATTGCTTGCGTATGTTAGACTCACTATGTAAGAAATGTTGAGATCAGATGAAGGGTGCTAGGCGAGATAAGCAAGTCGATTGATGAAGTTGTAAACCTTAGTCGACTAAGATGGCTTGGACATATGCTGCGCATGCAAAGCCACCTCCTGTCTCGATGTGGCATGCTAGGGGAAGTTGGACTAGGTTGGGAGAAGGTTCAGGGTGACCAGAACAAGATGTAGCACTAGTCCGTGAAGTCCTTGACTGGTGGTCTGAGCAGTGTGGAGAGATGGTTAGGGTCAGCAAGACGATAAGAATCAGTGGTTGAGGACTCTTGGTGGCATGTCTGAAAACGGAGCACAAAAGCGCAGATGTATTCACTCCTTGACATCTTATAAAGCTTGATTATTCGCACAAACCTTTGTCTTCAGATTGCTTGCTCTCTAACACAACTTTATGTACTTTGACATCAATCCTTTTCTATTCGCCTATTCTTTGTATACTACTGTGAAGTGTGGAAATTTGAATCGATGCACTTGTGTGAGAAGTCCTACGTTGATTTTGTATCTGTTTGTCTGCAGCAACTGCATGATTGGAGTTCAAATAGGTACTCCGAAAAGAGCAGCATTCTTTCACCGACTCTCCAAACGATGTGACCTATCGACCATCATCCGCTTGACGTCGATGAATGACAAGTGAAATAATGAGCCTGATGCTTGAAGTTAGTGTTGATCACGAATAAGTGATTTTCAAAACAAAGTAGTGACAGATGATTATTGTTCTCTATCCCTTCACATGGCATACCGTACATATTTCCAAAATGCCGTTTTGATTTACCCAGCTTCTCTACTTAAAGGTTGAAGTTGCCTCCTGGTATGTATACAATATCAATGTTTGTACTGTCGTAAAACCGACATTTTTTTTCTAAAAATTATCCTTCGCACCGTCCGAAATGCAGACAGTTAGTGATGATGGTTACAATCGCTTCTAGATTTTATACATTCATTTAACTAGATGGCCAATATTTGGTTATCGACTGATATGCGATTGAGAAGTGTATTTCCTGCTCTAAAACTCATCGTAACACCTACACCACTAAGTTAATGGCAGGCGGTCATCGAATCTTTGAACGCTCCTGAAGTAAATTTCTGCAGATTTGGAAAGTTGAGATTTAGACAATTAACACAATTAGCTTCTGTATGCATATCGTGCCTGAGGAGTCAATAACTAACGTAGCCTCGGCAAAGATACGGACGTTTCGACTGGCATTTGCCAACTTACACTATTTACCATACCTATGAAGGGTCTAGTGTATTACACTGTAGTTTGTCCTGTGAAAGATGATTAATAAAGAAAGATAAAAGACACTAGGAGGCTGGCTTCGTGTGTTCCGTTATCACCGTCTTCGTACGAAAAGCTGTCGTAGTGCCAAAATAACAAAAATGCAGAAGTTGGGCGTAGAGTTTTAGGTAGGAGAGGTCAGTTGCTGAGTTTGTGGACATTTGTCGACTAAGGTAGCCGGGACATATGCTACACACACCTAGTCATAGCCCGCCTCCTTGCGCAATGTTAGCTTAAGTAGGTTTGAGATTGGAAAAAGTTAAAGACAGCCAAACTCAAACATAGTGTCAGCTCATAAGGTCTTGAACTATTGGTCTGACTCATTTGGGGGAACGCAGACTTCACGATTGAAGTCTGCATGAGGACCGAAATCGATGTTTGAGGATTCTAGCTTATATGACTCAGAATCGACGTCAGTGGCGCAAATTCACCCACATATTATCCTCATCCTAATCATCATACGGAATCTCACTACTGTTTCATCCTACCTATTCTTTTTTAACAACTTTCTATCACTTTGGTTTACTTTTTCCTTATTTTCTATCTTTCTTCCTGGTACGTTGCCTCGATGTGGTTTTATGGAGTGTGGTAACTCGGGTCGTTACGTAGTGATGCCAGCTCTGGTGCTGATTCTAACTGACTGGCATTTGTTCCAGTTCTCCCTTCTTTTGTTTTACGGCACCCTACTATTTTTCATAATATTATTTACATTTTTTATCGTTTTCATGTTATATTTCATTTTGTTGAGAGTTGTGACAGGTTAGACGGTTCAGCAGTAAAGCCAGGCTTTATGTTGACTGACTGTCCGCTTATGGTTGGTTTTTATATTCCTTTTTCCGTTGATTGTTACTTTCATGAGTTGCTCAGTGCAGAAACTTTAATGCTGAGATTATTGTACGTTGATGCCTTCATGTTGTTTATGACGAAGGTATTAAAATTTGAGTCAAACTGCCAAACGTAAGAACTCCACTGGATCCACTTGAAGGTCAACAATCTTGTTGTGTTCTTTACTTACTAGGAAATGGAAATGTCAAAATAATAGATAAGTCACTCACTTAACTTCACTAAATGCATGGTAGGCACAGCTCATAGATTGCATATGCTAATGACTTCATAATGCAGTAGTGTTTATTGATTTTACTAAAAACTGCTATTTTGAACAAATGATAGGAAGGTTAGAGTTGACGAAAAAGTCGAAATTGCCGATTTCAATATTTACTTCAATGGCGTTTCCTGATAATTTACAAATCTTAGCACGAAACTTCAAATATTTTGTTTATTTACTTAGATACATAAATATAGAGTTCAGTACAAACTGGCAGACAAAATCGCCGTAGAACCTCACACATAAGTGCATCGATTCAAATTTCCACACTTCACAGTAGTATACAAAGAATAGGCGAATAGAAAAGGATTGATGTCAAAGTACATAAAGTTGTGTTAGAGAGCAAGCAATCTGAAGACAAAGGTTTGTGCGAATAATCAAGCTTTATAAGATGTCAAGGAGTGAATACATCTGCGCTTTTGTGCTCCGTTTTCAGACATGCCACCAAGAGTCCTCAACCACTGATTCCTGTCGTCTGGGGGACATCTACATCACTATAGACACATGCTGATAATATGATGGGACAGTTATTTGATCAAGTAATGCATACAACTTCTAATTCTTGTTCCCGAATTCCCCACAGGTAAACCTTAGTACTGAGTTAGTATATGAGAGAAAAGATAACAATAAATAAGAACTCTGATGACTGGAGCCTACCTTCTTCTTTGGACCTAAAAAGTTGATTGATAAATATTCGAACAAATGATAAAATCTGTTATTAACATGAACATGGTAAGTGTATATACCCTTGAAACAAAGAGAACTAACTGTGCCATTTCATGTCTTGCATCCAAAAGATGTTCTAAGCATTCTTCTTGACCTTCAATTGGTGCATAATAAGCATGGTAGGTGGCCAAACGCATAGCGGAATCTGGATGATCAGTAAGTGGATGGATGAGTTCAACTGAATTAAAATCACTATTACATAATAATTGTGATGGAAATGTTACCGAACTATGGCAAGCCTGATACGATATTTAGATAAATAAGAAATAACAGAAGTATGTTAGAAATACAAAGTAAACTTAAGTGTTTTACAAAAAAAAATGTGCAAATGGCCTGAAATATATGTATAAAACGGTGCATTAAAGGAAAGACAAACATTCAAAGTAACACTTCAGCTAGCTGATTTTCCTCATAAAAACTAACTTGAAACCAACCAAACTCCTCATTACACTGCACGAACGATATCGTAGGTGCAATTTATAGACAAGTTTGCTTTTTCGAAAGCTATTTTGAGATTTTGGTAACGCTAGCTAATTACATCATTAAACAGATCAATGTTAACAAAACTGCCGCATGAATTAGTAAGAAACCAACCAGTCACTCAGAGGTGTGGCTCAATGGTTTACGGCGATTACTATCAACCTGTGGGTCACGGATTCGAACCACGCCCCATCTACCGAGGTTTGGGCAGTCATGTAGCATCACTTATCAGCCCTCACACGATAGGTGTGGCTCATTGCCTACTGCACGGATGGGCACAGGGTGGCTGAGTGCGTCTCGTTTCATTCGTTTTGATCAGTTACTCAATGCTGAACTACATAGTCACGGACGTCGACTAATTATCTCTACCTCGTCTAATCAACAGATGATGAGTGTGCACGAATCTGTACATAGCCTTAAAGTTGTAATCATCTAGTGACCTGCATTTACAGCTTAATTTGAAGCAAAAAGAACGATCCTGAAAAATATCTGAGTAAATTTCAAGCAAAAACGTGAGAGGACTTATCTGACAACTCAAGAAGACATAAAATAGCAAGTAGTTCATCGACGAGATGTCCTTCTGATAACTTCATTCTTGAAGTTCAAAAGTGAAAGATTGTGCATACAGTTTTGTGCAATATGTTTTATAGTTACAATGGATTTCTGGTAAGCGAAACAAATTGTCGTTACTAAAAACAAATCCAATTTGCTACGAGTATTGAAAAATTGATAAAGAGTACTATAGGAACTAGACAGAAAATGTTGAAGTTCTTGTTGGAAATTCTCACTGCATAAAAAAGCAAGTTTAATAAAATAGGTGGCTTGGTGAATGGAATTATACTTAGTGATTATCCTACTTTGGAAAAAGGAAGCAACGACAACTAGATTAAAAGAATGATAATGCCAAGTTCATGATAAATAAGTACCCTGATGTTCAAATAAAATGATGGCAACTCAGTGACATCCTTAAAGTGATGATAATAATATTAATAACGGACGTAGAAATAGTAACAGTGAGATGCATTTCATCATCATCATCATCATTATCAACATAGGACCAGGCATTACTGCGTAACGGTCCGAGTTGCCACACCTCATATCAGCACATCAAGTAAAAAGGTAGTGAGGTGAAGGATGAAGATAAGTGAATGCAGTCAAAAGAAATATAAAGTATGAGAAGAAAGGGAAGAGGAGAGTTTGGCTTTCGAGAGGAGGTTAGACAGTTTATGGTAGAACTCGTCCTTCACTTCATCCGAACTACAGTCAGTGGGTGCGTAAGCAGAGATTACAAAGAGACAACGGCGAGTCTCACTATTCCTTTTAGTTCTCACTGTGCCGTTCAGCCTCATAGCGCAGAGGCGACTATCAACTGGGATCCAGTCTAGTAGTGAGTTTTCTGCCCTGGTGCTTAATGCTATACCTACACCTGCAAGACCACGAGAGCTAGCTATCGAATCTCCAGAAACTCGAAGGGTGAATTTTGCAGATTCACCAGATTGGTCAGGAGAGGTCAGGTGAATAACCACACTTGGGTCCTGTATGCGTGTCTCACAAACACAGCACACATCCATGCCTCGAGTTGCTAGAGTCTTTGCCAACGAAGCCTGTTGGCCAATTTGACGGAGGGTGCGGACATTGAAGGCTCCAATATGTAATTTGGAGCGTGGTTTAAGGAGACCAGGGACACTGTTCTGTGGACTCAGATCGTTGTCGAAGGCTGCAGAGGTAGGAGAAATTGAAGATGATGCAGCATCATTAATTAAGAGACGTGAAGGAAGATTAGAAGGTAATGATGGAGGAGGAGGATAGCAGTCAGAAGAAACTTGGGTGCTGACAGAGTTGTGAGGGCGGTTGACACTTCCCGGCTGCCCACACCGTGGAAGGCTATTTCTTCTTAAGGTACCTGAAAGAGATTTGTGTGACCGCAGAGCCCATCGGACATCTGCTTGAGGCCTGTCACACCCAGCCTTTTGAGTATGATTATTTTGAATTTTTGTATTTTTGGGGCCGGATGAGCGAAAGGAAACGACAAGTGAACCAACACCGCCGGCCCGGCAGACCGTGGGGCGTGGTGGAGTGTGTTATTTTTGGGGCCGACCTTTTCTAACCCCCCCTTCCACTGAGAAGGCAGCATCAGCTTGGCACTGCTGGTCATCCAAGGGAAACACCTTACTGCTGTCACACCCCATCCAGCTAGCAGCAGTACGACTTCGCCCTCAGACCCCCATCATAGTATAGCAATTTACACTATGACGGTAACTGCTTTTCGTCTAACCACTACCCAACAGACCTTTCTGGTATGGTAGGACCTCGAGGGAACAAGCGTTCCACCAGCATAGCTCGTTGGGTCATTGTGATATGCAAGCCCGACCACCACGTCAAGGTAGCAGCTATCGGTCGGGGTGAGATGCATTTAACTGTGTTATATCCCTGTTCTGACAATATACCTGTCTTAACCTCGTTTTAGGTTTTCTATTCAGTCCCATGATTAATGGATTGAGGGAAATGTTAAACGCAGCTTTTATCTGATATTACTGAGCTGCTATTTTCGAGTTAATCCCACTACCATTAACATCACACCACCACGTGAGTCAGAGAGAGAGAGAGAGGGAGAGAGAGAGATTCAGCTACCTTGTGCACATCTCTGCAGTAGGCAACGTGTACACCTTATTTCGTGAGGGCTAACGATACTACCTCGTAGGTGGAGGAGACAAAAGTAGATCACTAGCCTATACAATGCACGATTATGTTGTATTTAGCAAAAAACATGGATATACAAGGCCTTAAAAACTTGACCGCCTAATCAGAATGCTAACGAATTAGAGCGAAAGGTAGACACGTTAAGGATTGATTGATTTTTGGCCTGTCTTTCTGTGTAGAGATATAAAAAACTATGGTGTTAGCTCATTGATGAAACGTCTAATATAATGTGAAGTATTCTGAATCGCTTCGAATCTGAAGAATGCTCATCGACTAAGGAACGTGATTTACAAGCCATGGATCCCGGGTTCAAACCCCACTCCACCTACTTTTCCCGGCCAACCGAGTAGTATCATAAGCCCTCCCGCAACAAGCGTAGCTGATAGTCTAGTATATGACCAAGTAACATGCTGAGTTATATTATTATTATTATTGCGAAAATACAGGTAATAGGAAACGAAAATATGCTTTGATGTGACTTTTTCCAACGTGTTCCTGTATGAGTCTATCAGAAAGCAAATCTAAGCCAGAGGATTCATAATGTATGATGCTGTCAATTAATGGAGTAAAGATTTTGAAACATAGCTATTATCAGTACTTTGTAAAAACATCCTGAAATAGTTTGTTAAGTGGAGTTGTGGCTCACTGGTTTAGGGAGTTGACTTTCAAACAGTGAGTCGCGGGTTTGAGCACGACTTCATCTACCAAAGTTTGGACAGCCAAGTGCATCACTGGCCTTTATGCAGTCAATTTGACTCACTGCCTACTGCACGAGTGTGTACAATGTTGTTGAGTGGGTTTCGATTCCGTTCGGTTTTTCCTTTATGCCGACGAAAACAAATCAAGTAAATACTTTAAACTTACCTTAATAAATTCAGCTCCATGATGTAAAGCAAGTGAAGCAGCACGCACATATTGTTGATGTCGACTAGGATCTTGCAGTTGCACACCAGAGAGCTCGAAATCAGCTATAAATAAATCCAGTACACGTTTATCAACGTTATCCATATGCATGTCTGGAATCAATTTATTCACTCTAGATGATCTACTTGCTCTTACGGAAGCACTATATAGTTCAGAATTAGTATTTAACTCTTCAACCAATTGACCGATTGACTGGCATGCTTCCTGTGCATAAGAACGGTATACTTCATCAGGATGAAGCATTCGTACACAATCAGATAAATCAGCTACTCGACACAGGGCATCAGACATATCATCCAATACCTAGGAGAAATAGTGAGATGTAGAGTAAGTGGAGTTGATGAGAAATAATATATCGTAAGCAATTAAATTTAGATTTAAAAAGATTTGGGAAATCATTATTTTCCTAATAATCTTGGTAGTTAATTACACGAGTGCTTGCGCACTAGATAATGAGCCGAATCTAGTAAATGAGGGTTCATTATAATAATTTTGTTTTACTGTTGTCTAAATGACCCTATTCACAGAAACCCAGAGTATTATTCATACAGAATAATCAACACAGTAATGTTTCAGTGCACCAGTAATCGGGTTCTCACCTTGAAACATTTTTTGACCCAATAAAACGTATATTGAAACTCATTGTCGATAGTTCATGAAGACGTGTGCCAAAGATTTTTCGGACTCATGAAAATCAATTGATGATCCTACAATAAGGCTGACATTATTAGTGACAAATTTTGTGTAGCTTTAGCTCAGTGATTGATACATCATTCTCAACTGATAAGCAATGATACTAAGGACCGTCCCTTGGTTGACACCTACAAATGAGACCGACAAACAAACCCGAGTGCAAACCGACACAAACGTGCACCAGTTCAAGTCACTACAATCCACAGTAGCATGAGATGTGAAGAGAAGAATGATATTAAACTAAACAGAAGTGTATGAAAGGAGAGCATAGGCAGACGAAGGTTTGGAAAAACGTTCACGATTTCGAAGAGATAAAGTGTATATATGTGTCATGATTGATTTCAAGCCAAATCATCAAAACTTCCGTCATTGATTTCTGTCATTTCAAGGGCTTTAGCCAAGCAATTGTGGAATGAACGACGAATAAGTTGGTATGATTTTTTTGCATTATCATAACTCTTAGGAAATGTTCAATGAGTAGTGTTATTTAACAGTTTGCGTTCAGGAGTAATTCAGGACTGAATCTACGAGCGAATTCACTAGGGTTTTCTGTTTTAGGCATAAATGTTAGACAAGGAAAATAAACGAGAACATTCTAGAATGTTTTGATTTGACTGTTTCATAGTTTGTGACAATAATGTTGCTTTGCTTGTCCTTTCATTTTAAGTTTATATTAATTTTCTCATATTATTCCTCATAGCGCATATCTGCAGGGAAAATTCAGACCTATCGGTTCCGTCTTTAACTATCAACCACAGAGTTCTGAGTTCAAATCTCAACTCCCTACTTTAGCTTAACAAATCTGCTAATAGCGCTAAACCTTAATAACAGATGTAGCTCATAGCAGAATACGGGGACTTCTGCCAAGTTGCTGAATTGCATTTATTAGCACTCATTTTGGAATCAAATTTAATTCATAAGACGAGTCATGGATTTATGCAACTAATTTAGTCTAGACGGTTCAGTTGTACTACCAGTTTTCAAAGAACAAATCTGGATTGAAGCTTTATATATAAAGGCATTTGGACCTAGTGATTTTATTTACCTCGACTTCAAGACGTGACCTAACTTCCATAGACCATGTTACTTATAGGGATTTAGTACTACTTTTATGACTAAACTAGGTTGAATTATCAGACGTAGCAAACTTGAAAGGTGACATACAGACTTGTAAAAACGTCCATATCAAACTCACCTGAACCATCTTTCTAACCCTCGTCACAGAAGTGGCTTCATTCAACAGTGAGTGACACTCTTTCATAGTGGAGTTAACAAGACTCTGAAAACCACTAGGAGATAATAAACTCTGATGGCCAAAAAGTCCTGATTAAACAAAAATATCATTATTGTACTAAAAAACCTGTAGTTTTGTTTATCCGTTCATCCTCCGTATTCAGATGGTAGTTAAAAGCGTCAGCCAGGGGACTTAATTTGACATGCGTAGACAACAATCGCCGACAATAGTACTCAGAAGTTTTAAATGACTGTAATTGTGACCAAGACATAGGTTTATAAGCACAACAACTCCACTTTGTTTATTGAGAATTCAACATAAGATGCTTACTGCACGGCGAAGAATAATCTGGAAGTATCAAAAACAGTAACAGAAGAATACTAAGTGGCTCACATGCAAAACTAATGCTGCAATGTGAAACTAAGTTGCAATAAATCATTTCAACAAAATGGAAGGTGCTTGAATTTATCCAGAAGTCATGAATAATAAGATTAAACAGAGAAGGCAGCTTCATTTTGTGCAATATGAAGACAGAAAAACCTGCTTTAGTGAAAAGATTACCAAATGACTGTAACTTAACTGGGACTATCAACTGAAGCATTTTAGGATGACATGACTCAAACCCATTTCGCTCAAGGATAGTATCATTAGCTCTTACATGTAATCTCTGAGGAAATAAACTTACATGAGATTACTGGTAATCAAGTTACGTGTTATCGTGTTTGAGGGTGTTCAAATCTGGAGTCACAGATAGTGATGAAAGCATACTATATACAAGATGGGTCGAATACAAAACTTGAACTGTTTAAATGTTGGTAACTGGAGATTGCTAATTATAAGAGCGTTATCATGCAAACAGATGATCTGTGTATTTAGTTAACGAACTGTATGCTTTTGTCTAGCTCGGCAGACAGCTGGCACTTTGAATTAGTGGTAGGGCTTGCGTATCACGATAGCCCGACTATCTATGCTGATTAGAACGATTTTCTTCTACGCCAGCAAGGTCTGTTGGATAAAAGTAGTTACCGTCGTGATATGACCGACTTATGTTATGGCCAGTTTGGTAACGTGGTCATACTGGTAGATCCACGCGATATGACAGCAGTAGGGTGTTTCTCACCGAAAATTGAAATTCTAAGCTGACAGCCCTTTCTTATTTGAAGTTCGGTCATAAAACAGTGCTCTCCCTAGCACACAGAATATCGGTAGGAATATAGCCATTAAACCTAGATCAAAAACCTCCAAAAAGACTGCAACTGGTATCAAGCACGTGTCCCTTGGGTTTTGAGATAATTCACTTGGGTCGACTAGGTCATTACTACCAATCTTTTTATCAGCTAAATTGAGAAGAATCAACTCCCGTGGTGATCAGTTGAAAAGTATGGAACGCTCTCATACCTCTATCAGCAGTCAAGTCCCTTATGAATAATCCCTGGGTTGAGTATCAGAAAACATCTATTTCGCGTATAATATAAACGATGAGGTCGAAACAAGGCAAGCTAGGGCGGTGGTAGCTGGTTGTTTTCAAGCTATATTATTAGAAAATGAAACCTTCCACAACTCTGACGTGCACGTACGTGGATTTCCCTGAGAAGTGCATACCACACCGTATGTGAAATATAGAATCCAAGCAGGCAACTCGTATCATTATGATCCAGATGCGGTTGTGAGCACAGATAGTTGAAAGTAAAGTGGCTCAGTTCCTTTAATCCTTTCTCATGAGGGACGACTGGGCCCTTCTGACACATTACCATAATTTGACCAGCCTGAGAAGATAAATATTTGTTAAGAAGCAACCCAGGCTCAACGCGCAATGGGATGAGTGACATACTAATCATCCTAAACTTAATCTTGGGCGGGTTACATGGAACCAGATGTGACACTAAGCTTTTATTGTCTGGGAACATATGAGACAAATGTGAAACATAAAAGACCATATACTGAAACAACTGCTTTGACGTAATGGTGAACATAAGAGAAAATGGAAAAACATGCGACAATGAGTCTTCAGTAATATGGATATAAGGTTAAACAGTGTTAAACTTGGCACTAGTTATTTTTGCTTACATCTGGTTTCGTTGCAGGAGTTGCTACAAAGTGCTTTGGTAACCATTTCCAGTCGTTAGCCAATATGATGAAAAACGTACTCTAACGCTAAAAAATCCAGCTCGATAGCTGCTACCTTGAAGTGGTGTCAGCGCTTGTATTTCAAAATGACCCAACGAGTTACACTGGTGGAACGCTTGTTTCCTGGAGGTCCTATCATACCGTAAAAGGTCTCTTGGATAGTGGCCACACAAAAGCAGTTACCACTGTGATGTAAATTCCTACCCTATGATGCAGGTCTGAAGGCGAAATCGTACTGCTGACTGGACACGGGGTGTAGAAAAGGTTGGCCCCCCAAAATGGCATACTCCCATCACCGCGCGGCATGCCGATGCCTGTGACAGAGATTTTTAGTCGGATTGGAAAGCGAAAAACCAAAATCTTAAACTTGTAAAAAAGGGTGGCCTTTAAGCAGACCATGAGATCTATTGTTATCCGACAATCAACTGGAGCTCAAGAACACCAGACTTCAGACCTGAATGAAAGTGCACCGATCGGACTTTCCTCTATTGACAGGTCCTGGAACACAGACATACATACCAGCGGCCGAAAATCACCATATTTCCTGACCTGAAAGTGGTATTTGACTCTATCGATCATAAGGTGTTGTGTCAGTGTCTGACTATGAAGAGAGTACGAAGCAACTATATAACGCTAATCAAAGCCATTTAGTCGAACTCATGCAGCTGTGTAAGGGTTTATGGAGAGTTGCCATGTGAGCTGACGACAAGTAGTGGTGTCCAACACGGATGTCTGCAGTCACCGTTCCTACCTAACTTCGTTACAGACCTTAGGTAGGCCTGACTTCACAGAGACCGACGTACTCGCTGTAAGTTATCTGGTTGACTTGGAGTATGCAGACGATATTATCCTGCTAGGTGAAGAAGCTGATAAAATGCAGGGTCTTCTGGATGCACTGAGCAGAAATCTGAGTATGTTTGACGTGTTTTGCATCTCCCACATGTAAGATGCTTCAGGACTGGTCTGCTGCAAGTAGTCACAGTTTAATGATAGGAAGGGGTGCTGGAATGTGTCGACCACTTTACTTGCTTGAAAAATTGCATCAACCCGAATGGGCTCGTTGCTGACGAAATTGGGTGAGGCTGAAAGTCATCCCGAAGTGTCATAGAGTTCTAGGTGAAAATGCATATTTCTGTGTTATCTACCCACATCTTTTGAAGTGAAAACCGCAATCCTAAATCACTTCTGATGTAATTTAAAGCCTCAGTTAACTCACTTTGGTTGTGAGCATCATTCTTGATAAAAAGCTGTATTTACTACTCGCCTAAGAAGTGGGAGTGCATTCAATAGTTTGCAATTCAATAAACGGTATGAAGCACAATTCAATGGCAGACGGCGTTTTAAATATGCATGAGGAGCACAGAACGTACGTGCATTTGAACACAGAATGCCGTAGTCTATAAAAAGGACGATAACGCCTAGGGATGACTTTTGGACTCAACCGAAGAAATTCCAGCTGGGACACAAAAGGTGCGTTTGGCATTTGCCAACTTAAGTCACCTGTGGCACCCACTGGCGAGATTTTCAACTATCCATCAAAGAACGAGTATATTGCGCTGCAGTCTAGTCTGTCCTGGTGTACGGCTGTGAGACACGGCCGTTAGAAGTATAGGACATGAAGCGGATTTCATCACAAGTGTCTTCTCAGCATTGCTCACGTTTGGTGGAATTATCACGTGAGCAATGTTGAGGTCAGGCCCAAAGTACTTGACAAGCCGGGCAATTCGATTGCTGAGGTTGTGAACCTTAATTGGCTGAGACGGCCTGGACATGCACTGTGCATGCCAAACCACTAACCACCTTGATGTGCGATGCTAGGTGAAGCTGGATTAGATTAGAAGAGGGTTCAGTGTGACCAGACCAGAACGTCGCTCCAGTCTATGAAGTCTCCGACAGTTGATCTGAGCCGTGAAGGGAGATACAGATTACCTGATTGGGATCCTTGAGATGAAAGGAACTAGTGACTGAGGACTCAGTGGGATGGCTGAAAATAGGTCACGACAGTACAGATGTATTCACACTTTGACGTTTTCCAAAGCTTGAATATTCACACTGAGCCTTATTTTCAAATTGTTTATTCTCACAGAACTTTTTCTACTTTGATATTACTCCTTTTCTACTCATCTGTTCTTTGTATACTGCTGTTAAGTGTGACAACCGTTGTACTTGTGAACAACGTTCTACGCTGGTAATAATTTCGATCTCTCCGCTAAAAAGATTGACACTTACTCAGTGGTTTCAGACAAGCACTATGTCAAGTTCGATTAGGTAAGTAAGCTTCTTGCAACCGAGTGGACCTGGTTAGCTGTTAAGAGCTGCGTGTAGTATAGATATTAGTGGTCACGGTAGTCATTTCCAACTATAACTGTGTACAACCAGCACACTCTGGATAATTTGGATAAAACTTCACTTACACTTAACAATCTTCGGATGTTTGGATGGCATTTAGATCTTGAAGAATTTCGTGTGACTTTTCTAATGAGCACCCAGGAGCTCATGGAATTTTGTTAATAAACGTGGACTAATACTCTCTTCAACCTCGCCTGGTTAACTAGTTCACCAGTTACTAGCCGGTCCTAAGCCCGGGTAAAGAGGGAAGGTTGGGGATAGGGCTAGCAACCCTACCCCGTAAAACAAATCTAACCGCTAAAGAAACTTCAAAGCACAAACGATATATAAAAAATAAAAACAAACTTATTCCTCGCTGGAATCGGAGAGGCGAAATGATGCCGATTGGTGAAAGCCTTCGGGAAGCCAATTGGCCGGTGTGTCTTCTCTCCCTCGATGAAAGCGAAAGTAAACGTGGGGATATGGAATGTCCGCACGATGTTTGAACCCAGCAAGGCAGCCCAGATTTCAAACGAGATGAGAAGGTATAACATCGAAGTGCTTGGGATTTGTGAAAGCAGATGGAATGGGAGTGGACTCTCCAAACTGTCAACGGAGAATCAATAATCTACTCCGATATTGTCACCCAGACGACAACCAAGAGCACACTGAGGGAGTGGCTATCATGATGTCCCCAACAGCATCACAGGCTCTCATGCAGTGGGGACCAATCTCCTCCAGGATCATGACAGCAAGATTCAGCTCAAAAGGAAGGAAGGTCACAATCATACCATGCTACGCACCTACAAATAATGCAGAGCAAGAGAAAAAGGAGGAATTCTACAGACAACTGCAATCAACACTGGACAAGACCTCAGTTGGCGATATCAAAATTCTAATGGGCGACATGAATGTCAAACTTGGAGGGGACAACACTGGAAGAGAACTAACCATGGGTCCAGAAGCGCTAGGTGAGGTGATGAACGAGAATGGAGAATTGTTTTCAGAATTCTTTGCATTCAACGATTTGGTGATTGGAGGCAGTGTGTTCAAGCACAAGGATATCCACAAAGCAACATGGATTTCACCGGGTGGACACACTACACTAAAAATCAGATTGACTTCATCCAAATCTCAAGAAAGTGGAGACGCAGCCAGCCTACTTGACACAAGGTCAAGAAGAGGAGCAGATGTAGGTTCAGACCACTCCCTGTCTAGTGCAAGGAACCTTCCAAATCGAGTTAAAAGCCTTCAAGGAAGCTAGTGATAGACTGCAGCTCACGTACAACACTCGGAAACTGAAGGATGAAACTACAAAGGAAATCTTCACGGCAGCCATCAAGACAAAATGGGAGATATCGAGGAACATCCCTGAAGAAACTTGTGTGGAAGAACACTGGAAGTCTTTGAAAGAGATGTGGAAAGAAACCTGCACAGCCGTATTAGGAAGGAAGAAGAAAGAAGATAAGGAATGAATCTCGATGGACACATGGAGGCTGATAGAGGAGAGGAGGATGGTGAAGCAGAAGATAAACCAGTGCAAGGATGCTCAACGACAAGAGGAACTGAGTACAATGTATAAAACACTGGATAAAGAAGTGAAGAAGAGTGCACGCAAAGACAAAAGACACTTCTACGAAACACTGGCAGGTGAAGCAGAACAGGCTGCAGGTAGGAGAGACCTGATGACATTGTATCAAATAACCAGGTTGCTATCAGGGAAGAGACCAACACAGATGAAACCAATAAAAGATGAAGAAGGAAATTTAATTACAAAAGAAGAGAAACAGAGGAAACGATGGGCCGACCACTTCAAGAAGCTCTTGAATCGACCACCACCTGCACTTCTTCCAGAAATACCACCTGCAGCCTCCAACAAAAGTGGAAGTCCTGAACGCCATAAAGCTACTGAAATGCGGGAAAGCAGCAGGACCAGATGGGATCCCGTCAGAAGCACTGAAAACAGACACAGAGACAACAGCAACGGATATGCTCACACCACTATTGCAGGTGTGGAAGGAAGAGAAGGTACCTGGTGATTGGAAGAAGGGTTACCTTGTCAAACTCCCGAAGAAGGGAGACCTCAGTGTTTGCAAGAACTGGCGCGGAATCATGCTCCACTCCTGTCCACCCAGAGCAAGCAAAATATCAAGCCGCATCATCCTGGAGAGGCTAAAGGATGCACTGGATTCCAAACTATAACCGGAACAGGCAGGCTTCAGGAAGTACAAATCATGTGTGGACCAAATTGCAACGCTACACTATGCATCATCATAGAACAGAGCATAGAATGACAGTCAACTCTCTACCTCAACTTTATCGACTTTGAGAAGGCCTTTGACAGCGTCGACCGAGAAACTGCTTCATTGCTACGGAGTACCGCAAACCTTTATCAGCCTCATTCAACAACTATATGAAGACGCCACATGCCAAGTAATTCACAATGGGAAGCTCAGTGATGCCTTTACAGTGAAGTGAAGACAGGAGTGAAACAAGGTTGCCTACTATCCCCCATGATATTCCTGATTGTGGTCGACTGGATCATGCAGCAAACAGTGGGGAGTGAGAAGAGGGGGATACGCTGGACTGCGGAAAAGAACCTAGAAGATCTGGATTTCGCCAAGGACGACTTGTGCCTGATATCACATAAACTTGAAGATCTACAGGCGAAAACTAACAAGTTGGCAGAAGAGGTGAGGCAGCGAAGGGAGACGGGACTTCAAGTGAATATAGGGAAGACAGAGGTGATGAAGATACCGCACCACCAACAACAACAAACTCCAGTCACCATCAACAGGAGAAACTTAAAGGAAGTAGCCTCCTTCACGCATCTAGGGAGCACTGTTTCAACTACAGGCGGCACAGACGAGGATGTCAAAGTCAGAATCGGAAAAGCAAGACAGGCGTTCATTAGCCTGAAACCAGTGTGAAGATCTTCTGCACTCAGCATGCGGAACAAGATGTTGATTTTCAACACCAACGTCAAGTCAGTGCTTCTGTATGGTTCAGAGACTTGGCGCGTTACGAAAGAGATTTCCAATAAACTACAGACATTCATCAACAACTGCCTACGCTGGCTACTGAAGATCAGATGGCCAGCATAATAAGAATAAGCAACAAGGAGCTCTGGGAACGAACCAACCAAGAATCTATCACGCAACAAATATGCAGAAGGAAGTGGAGATGGATTGGCATACACTGAGAAGGCCGACTGAGGACATCACGCGTCAGGCCAGTTGCTCGAGTGGAATCCCCATGGGAAGCGACGAGTTGAACGTCATAGGGTGACATGGGGGTGACCGTGCGAGGAGGAAATGAGAGCTTCTGGGCTGTTGTGAACCAGGTTCAAAAGATTTCAGAGAAGAGAGGTCAGTGGAGATGTGCTACTGAAGCCCTATGTTCCATTAGGAACCCAAGGGACTAAATAATAATAATAATAAACACTCTCTTCACATAATTTTTAGGGAAATCAGAAACACACAAAAGTAAAAAAGCTAATAGATTTCCTGAATATCAGTTAATAACTTGGGTTATGGTATCATGTAATTTCAGTGAATTAGAACAGGTCTATGCTTGAAAGTATGTTACTAAACGTATGTAGGTCACAATCAAACCAATTTTTACACTCACATTATATGTATAAGTTGGATGGACTGTCTATAACTCCAAGAGATAACACTTACCTAAACACGTTCAAAATACAAACCAAAATCTCACCCACCTGCTGCTAAAATACCTGTAACGCACTGTTTACAATATGGGCACATTTTCCAATAGCCAATATACATAAGTGAATGAAATCTGAGGTCCAGCTGTTGATAGGTTTTCGTCTAGCTCGAAGTTAAGTAGGTACGTTGTTGCAGTGGATGCGTAGAGCAGTGGGTTTGGCGGTGACTACGAGAATCTGGAAGCGAAGAGAGGAAGAGAAACTGATATTGGACTCGCGCAGTTTGAACTACGCCGTGCTTTATTCCTCTCCGATCTAGAGGCAATGCTACGGTTTTTATCACCGAAAAACAGCTTTCAACCATATCGCAACGGTGAATGCGATTTAGTTAGTCAACTGGAAGCAAAAACTACTACATACAATGACACAATTATCTTCTCAACTCGGTAATACTACCTGCTAGTAATTTATAGTCGCCTGGACCGTTCAATTGCTACAGTTTTTGGCTCTCTTCAGGGACCATTCACCGAGAAACATCTTTCTTGGCCTTTACATATGCATTTGGAGTACTCGATCAAAGTTGCTGATTAAGTGAGAGAAACCCAGTACCAAGTTTCTGTTGGCAAGCCATCTACTTTGCGCTCTGTTTGCGCCCTTCATTTACATTATTTTTATATTGTCACCTAACCATGATGGCACAAAAAGCCAGACAGCATCATATAACAAGGTCTTCAGGTGGGCAGAATCTGGTCTGTGCAGAAAAGATAGGCACAGCAACGCCACCGTCTAAGATCCCCATAGCACTATCACACCAGGCATAGCATTTGTCAAAACCGGCGAACCCCTGTAGCCGGGGTGACAGTAGCACATCTCCAATCATATCGTTGGTGAAAAATAAAGCATGATGAAAACGTGCTACATTTGACATCACCTTACAGGAAGTAAACCGCTCGGTCGTCAACAAAGAGCAAACCTCTGACGACCGTGGGTTTTGCAAAGAATCGGTGTCAGAGGCCCAAAAGACCATTTGTGTGCAACGTCTGTCCTAGATGTGTGGACTGTAACTGTTATAATGGTTTGTCAGGCAGCACTACAGCTTTATGAGGAAGTACCCATGTAAATGGCTGTGGTACGCATGCCCAGAGTGCCAGAAATCACCCGTCATCACTACCGGCAAACTGCAAAACCTGGTGCAGTCAAGCAAGTTACAGAGCACGAGCTCCAACAATCTTCCCTCAGAAACTGGTTAGGCTCCACAAGTGTGCAAAAGTGCCACCCCTAGAGATAGGAAGAAATTGGCTGCCACTCTAAGCGAGGCTCCAAAAATGTCCTCGCTTGTATCGCTGCAACCCAGACGACCTGACAGAACTGAACAACCTGAGGAAATGGGTTGCGTTGAGAATGAATGGACGGAGGTGAATAGGGTAAAGGGTAGACTGAAAGAACTAGCTAACAAACCCAATATTCCGCACTCACAGAGCAAAAGAACAGATTCAGTCATTCTGTTCAACGTACCTATGCCAGCAGACTTACTCCTAGAAGAGGGAGAACAGTCTGACAAGGAGAAGTGGGACGATTGCTGCAGAAAGCTGGGAATAGAAACCATCGCAGTCAACCTATGCCAGCTCTTCCGAGGAAGTGGAGCACCTCGAGACAAGCCACCACCCCTTAGGATATTAACAATGGCAGCGAGAGAGTCGGGGAACATACTGCCGCTGTCGCGCCGACTAGACATTGCCAGCTGCTGCTCCATTAGGGCGAGACTGAACAAACCCTGAGTCACCAAAGAGGCAGGATGAAAGTCCTCACTTAGTGATCCGCACAAAGCTGCAACCATATTGGTACATGGAATACCTGAACTGGTGGGTGGATCCACAAAGTGTGATAATTACCTCCATGATGTCGAGCAGCGGGGGTGGTTAGCGGCAAAAACGAGACTTGGGAATCCGCCTGCCAACTACGTACTTGCAGAGCATCTACTCACCAAGATTGCTAACTGTACGCTTTGGCTGCAAACCATCACCAACAGAAGCTCTCACAGCGTGGTACCGTGTGAAAGACCACACAGGAGGTGCTATACGATGCCGTGAGAGTACACCACCAGTTGCCAGACTAGAAGATAGGAGACAACTCCTGAGAACGCTACAAGCAGTAGCGGTCAGAAACGAACTAGCTAGTGGACTACCTTTAGGCATAATGAACAATACCACCACACCAGCGGCAAGATGCTAAGAGGGGCCACAAAACAAAAGCCTGCTAGTTCAGTAGGAACTGACAGTCAGAATCTAATGCAGCGGTACACCAGCCTCCAAACAAGTCCCATGTCGCACCAAGCCCAGAAAGTAGCTCCTTGACATGCTTTTACAGCAGTGTGAGAGGTCTTAGGAGCAAACTACCGCGACTAAAAACAATATGCCATAATCTGCAAGTAGGTATGATTTTCACCACGGACACATGGCTGTCGGCAGACACCGTGGATGAGAAAATATCTTTGCTTAACATCACCCCGTTCCGAAAGGACAGGCACTTCAAAGAAGTCGGAGGAGTTGCCATGTGTATCAGCACTCATCCAAAAGTCAAGGAAACTACCGATGGTGTGCTCACTACCGGAATCCTCATGGTGCCGTTTCACCATAAACCAAATCAGGTACTATTGGGAGTGGTGCATGGGCCTCCCCTTTGTACGACAGAACATAAGGCACAACTGCTCAGCGTCATTTCAACAACCACCTTGGCAGCCCATGACCATGCAGTTCTCGCTGGAGACTTCAACACACGGGCACTCAACCTGGGATGTGAAGTAATTTGTGGCCATAAATCTTTCGAATACAAACTTGGTAGAATGACCAGTTGAGAAGGTTAAGGAAAACACCAGATGGGCCGCAAACACTTGGTTTGACGAAATCTTTACGTTCATCAGCTTTGTGTCGTTACACTGTTAGATGTTGGTGACCACCTTCTGACAGACGATGGTCTTTTGGTGGATAACATCCGTGTTCAACCCCCCCTAGATAAAAGTGACCACGCATTGGTGAGATTCCCTCTGATAACTAAGGAGACATCGCCAATAGTCGAACCAGAAGCGTTGCTCTGTTACCGAAAAACAGGCCATCATCTCATGGACAAAGAATTTCTGGGGCTATGTGGCCACAAGAATGGATACATGTTAGAGATATTATCAGGAGCGCCATGGATAAGAGCGTTCCAAAATTAACCAGATGGCCACCTCTTAGACGGTCTTGGGTAACCCGAGCATCTGAAAGGCAAATGCAGAGGAAAAAGAGGGCATGGTATCGGTGGCGCACGTCGCACAAAGAATCGGACTGTCATAGACACAAGGCGTTACGCAACCTATGTGGCATAAGAATTTTTAATAGCGGATATACATATCAGAGCAACCTGGCTAAACATTCAAGTTACAGTCCGAAGAGTCTGTATGGGCTTATGTCACAGCGCGGGCCGACAAATAGGGACTTGAACGCTATCACAGGACTGGGCGGAGAACCCCTGAGCAGCAGCGAGGTAGCGAAACTATTGAGCAGTCGGTTTGATGAGCAGCTCCAATCGATAATACATCCACTACCGACATCTAGCAATGTAACGATACAAAGCTGATGAAAGTAAGGATCTCGTCGAACTAAATGTTTGCGAAACTCTCAGTACTGCGAAAAGGGAAATCCCACGGCTGCGATGACGTAATACCGGTGGTCCTACACAACTGTGTAAAGTGCTAAGCATACCCGTATGCAACCTATTCACACACTCGTTGAAGATAAGTCAACTCCCCAGAGAATGGAAACGCACCGTCCTTTCACCAGACTTTGAGGGAGGAGGCCGAAAAAACCTTTGCAACTACTGACCAATAGCATTACTCCCCATACTTTCCAAAGTACTGGAGAGCCTGGTTGCAGATGTTGTTTGCAGCTACCAAAATAGAAACAGCATCGTCCATCCCATCCAGCATGGTTTTAGAACCAGGCGGTCATGTGCCACAAACATGATGACCAACTGGAATGACAGGACCACTGGATGGGACAACAGACAACCGGTTCATGTTATCTTCTTGTACTTGGCCAAAGCCTTCGATAGCGTCCCGCACTGCAGCATGCTCACCAAAATTGCAAATGCGGGTATCACCGAACCACTCTTAGCATGGCTTACGGCATGCCTACAGGACACAGAATTATCCACCGTCAACATTGTATTGGATCTGTTTAGTCTCAGGATTAATCAGATAAATGCTTATTTTGACATCAGTTCGCATGTTCATAGCCTTCACGGCCAAGAAAAATCCGCTTCAACGACCCCAGATAGGAGTCATGACAGTCCGCTAATCGTCCCAGCAACCCATGGCCCCCCAAACGCCCTGCAAATTACAACTTACAAACCCACAAAACATCCATCTCACCGAAGCTAGAAGCAAGAAAGCAGAGTGGATTTCCTCATCCACCGCAGGAGTGAACGGAATAACTCGAACCAATCCCTTAGAACTGGATGCGACAGATCGAAGACTATCGGTTTCCCACACTCGCACTATCAATATTGGACACTGAACTAGATAAAGTAAACAGAATTCGATCAACGTAGGGGGATGCAAGAAAAGGGATTTCTCAAGGGGCTTTCCTTGAGCCACTCCTATTTTTGCTATTCACACGTGACATCCCCACTAAAATCTCTTCATTTATCCTCCTATTCGCCGACGACACTCCAAAACCACCTGTTCCGGCTGGAGTCCTGGCCAGCTGCAAACGGCTTTAGCTTCATTCCGGAGAAGTGCAAGGTGACGTATCTTCGAACACCAGGGGCGGTGAAAATCAGCCGCACTCTTAACAGGCATGTAATCACCAAGCCATCCACAAAGAAAGACCTAGGACTTAACTTTTCTGAAGTACTGGATGCTACTGGCATTTGTAAGGGAATGACAGCAAAGTCAAACGCCATTGTGCACTTTCCAGGAATCATTCCCTATGGTATGCACATTCTATGTTAGACCACACTTTGAGGTGTTCAACACGACAGCCCGCCCACTACTATTATTATTATTGTTATTAGTCCCTTGGGTTCCTAGTGGAACATAGGGCTTCAGTAGCACGCCTCCAGTACACTCT